GAATTTTGTGTTTGTAATGGCAAGGTTCTGTTCCCTGCAGAATCTGAGAAGACGCTTGCCATTATCATTCAAAACATCTTCACCATATCTCCCGATCACTCCACCCCATCTAGAGTGATCATTTCCTACTCTGGCATTTAGATCTCCTAAGAGGATAATTTCATCGTGACAGTCATCTATGGTTCTTTGGAGCAGTTCAAAGAATTCTTCTTTAACATCTACTCGCTCATCTTCATTTGGCCTGTACACAATGACAAAATTGACAATTTTATCTTCTTCTTTCAGATCTAACACCATTATTCGCTCTGAGATGAATTTCTATCCCTTGATGTTACTAACTTGATTCCTGGCCACAATACAGCTCTCTCCGTCATAGGGACACCACTGTAGAGCAGCATACTTCCATCGTGATCTGTGATTCCTTGCCCCATTTTCTTGGTTTCAGTCAGAGCCAAGACTCCTAATTTTGCTTTCCTCATCTCCCCTACTAACTCGTTTTCCTTTCCGTTAATGCCTCTTATATTCCATGTTCCATAAATCGTAGTCCGTAAGCCATGCCAGTTCGTCGCCGTTAAGATCCGTCCGGTTTTCTCTCTGTAGTTACTTGTAATCGTGGTTTAAGGCAAACAGGTGATTGGCCTGTTGTGCCTTTGCATGGTGGAGGGGCTGCCTCCATGCAGGCCGTCTGGCTGATTCACGGTTACCCACTACTTCCGGAGACGCATGAAGCACTCAGGTTCAGCCAGACCCTCCTCCTTTTACAGCCGGGCTTGGGACTGGTCTTAGCGGAGTTAAAGGCCTCGCAAACTGGTACAAATTCCTGAAGCCTTGTTCAACCGCATGTAACAGAAATTTTAGGACACCCGACGGCTACGCAGCCAATGGTCCGGTCTGGAAATAAGAACTCTTGTAGCGGCTCTGTGATTCTGACACTAGATTGCTGTGTAGTGAGTGTGGCGTCGTACGCGACAATTTGGTGTCGGAATTTTAGGCGCGGCCAATGAATATCAGCACATTGTTTTCGCTTCTCTTGACCACATGTCACAAAATTCCCAACATATTTCGCATGTCTGTATTGTTTTCTGGTGTAGGATCCTTTTCCACGCCTTCAGGCATAAAGGGCTAGACCTTTATTTGATATTCTATACTTGGTGGATGATAGGGTTAACATCATACCGGCCGCATTTACTTCCCAGAGCTGTACCTGGTACCCACTTATGGCTGGGTCGACCTGGAAGCCAAGGCCATTTTTTTTTAGAAAGCCTGGTTCCATCAGCACCCGAACCCATGATCTTCTGACCCGCAGGCAACCGCCTGGCCACTGCACCCTGCAGTGGACATACATGGAGACTAAAGTTGGGGTGGGCACTAGATACCCGAACCCATGATCTTCTGACCCGCAAGCAAGCGCCTAGCCACTGCACCCTGCAGCAGACCTATGTATACATACATGGAGACTAAGGGGTGTAGGCACTTGATACACGAATCACGAGGTTTTTAGGCTGACTAGCAAGTAAATATAATACTATACTTGAAATAATATGAAATGTATAAATGCATACTTTTAAAGAGAATTTCAGTAAATGGTTGTAGGGAACCTCTTAGTCCTTTACACAGTTATTTGACAGGCGGGTAGGGGTGGGAGACTGGAGGGGTTCCCAGTATCATAGATATTGATATCAAACACTTTGCCTGTTTAGATGAAGACAAAATAAAAATAAAAAGGTCTCGTCTAAAAATCCCAGAGCACCTGGAAATGAGACAACATAAGCCGTGAAACTAAAGCCTTGATAAAACTGTTGAACGAAAATATTCATACAGAGCATATTAACTTAATGGCATCTATTTGGATTTCAGTAAATCTTGCTTCTCAGCAAAGCGAAGATTGATATATCGACATGGATGAGATCGTCAGGAGATTGCCAATTCAATGCAGAGTGAACTTGATCGCATCTCCTCCTGGTGTGCATGTTCTAATGCTCATTTCAACCATTCAGTAACGTGGTTCTTCTTGAATACGCGTATAGTAGAGGCAGACTCACCAGCAGTGGAAAGCAGCGAGAAAATTTGGACGAGAACAAATATGATAACATACCATGGAGTGAGGTTTGATTGCAGCCTGTCCTTCAAAGAACATGTTGACCATGTTATAACAAAAGCACGCAAAGGCCTGTCAGCAGTGAGCGTCGTGGTCGCCTCTAACACTGAGCAGAGACTGCTTCTGCTCCTGTTCGAGAGACTTGTACTTTCTCCCATCGAATATGCTCTAGCAATCCTCACTGTCAACCATACTCCGATTGAAAGGAGTGGGCATTTACAGATCGCTCTTCAGACAGAACAGTTAAGGAAGCCAGTGTTGGCCTCTCCATGACTACCAGCAGCATGACGATGGAGGTGATGGCGGTGACACAAGCTTTCATGTGGCTGGGATAACAGGACTATTCCCGCGTGTGTGTGCTGAGTGATTCTTTGAGCATGATCCGGCGGGTCGAGGCAGGCAGGTTACGCAGGCAGTGGTTTGAGTCATTGCAAAACTCTCCTGTGTGTGCAGTTACAGTCATATTCGTCTCAGGTCATGAAGGCGTTGTTGGTAATGAAAAAGCTGATAGACTGGCAGGTGCTGCATTAACTGAAGATGGCAGGCCCATAAATCACGCAGACATTGTCATTAGATAGATTGGACATTCTCAGGCTTTCGAAAGCAACATATCCACATCACTGCTAAGTATACGAGAATTGAGAGTAAAGATCGGCACAGCCAAACATGAAAAGCACACCGGACGCACACGAAGTCTTGTTAACCAACATAGGACTGGTACTATTAACCGCGCGACGCTGATGAATATGTTGAGAGGGGAATCTGAGCGCCTATGGATGTTTCCGGAGTGCTGTGAAGATAATCTAATCCATAACTCAGCGAAGATTCACACTGTAAATCGTTGAGGGGTATATACTAGGGGTGATGAGCATCGATGGAAAGAGATAGCAAGATGGACGTTTGTGTGTGTGATGGTAAAAAAAGAGAAGAAGGACGTAGGGTACAGGAACAAGAAAGAAAGATAAAATCAGAGACAATCTACAAGGGTACAATGTGTCTATGGTTGAGGCGGCCACAAGAGCAAGAAGTAGAACTTTATACTTAGGCCTACATGAATATATCCCACTCGAGACCTGAAGTGGTAAAATCGGAAGTGTAGAAGAAGCGGTCATCAGTGATGAAGCAGATAAACGTGTTCTTCTTCGCGTTCACCAGCTGTAAACTCTGACCAAAAGTAATAGTTGTTCGCCCACTTCTGGACTGAAGTCCTGTTCCAGAACTTGAGTGTTGCGTGTGCATCCGTTTGACAGATCTGACTAATTTTTATGCAGACTGTTGGTTCCTTGCCTCTCAGTCAGATGCACTCCAACTTTGAAGGAAACTCCCAATTAATCCCAAGCAGATAAATAATATCAATAATAACTATAGGCTGTTATTATCGGAAAACGCCATCAAAACAAACGCTGGCCTAACAGACTGGATCCCACCAACATCAGGAGTAAGGCAATGGGGGTTTTCTTTCTCCGTTACTTTTTATAATTGTCATAACGTTTAATAATATAATAGACATAACACCTCCAGATTTCGATAAACAGGAGGACGTCAATGCGCTGTTCTTTGCCGACGATCAGTGCATGTTCCACAGTGAAAGTAAACAGCTGCAGGACCACATAAACCAACTACACGACAGCTGCCTTAAACATCACATGAAGATCAATATGGAAAAAAAAAAGCAGAAGTCGTGAGAATAAGTAGAGAGCAACAAACCATCGACATAAATATCAAAGATCAAAAGTCTGAAACAAGTGCAAGAATTTAAATACTTGGGGAGCATCTTTACATACAACTGTAAAATAGACAGAGAGATAAAAACTAGAATCCAGCAATGTCACTTGTCTACTTGCTCCAATTTAAAAAAAAAAAAACTGCTATTCCAATATAGAAAAAAAAGACAAATTATAAATACAATATTTATACCGACTTTAGATTACCAGTGTCAGACTTTTACATTGACAAGAGAAAACTATCCACCTGTGAGATTAGGCGTTTGATAATGGCTATGTATAAAACCAGAAGATATCGAGCGATAAACGACGTAACCGCAAGAACTGTTGGAACAACATCTATCGTAAAGTTTGTTGAGAAACAAAGAATGAAATGCTTTGGCATATAATGAGAATGAAACCAAAGATGCCAGCAGCAAGAGCGTACAACCTGAAAATCTCACCACCAAGAGACGGTGAAAGACCAAGAAGAAACATGGATTGAAGGAGTCACTAACACCTTCTTCTTCTTCTTCTCTTCCACCCTGTACCTCATCGAAGTGTCGGGGGGAGATGTAAAATCTGTCGATGAGCTATGTCAAGAGCACTATTGACTGATGTTCACTTTTGTAAGGCTGTTCTTAATGCCATCCCTCCATTATTTCCGAGGTCTTCCACTTGCTCTATAGCCGTTGTAACGTTTTAGTGTGGTTCGCTGTGGCAGATAGTACCAGGGCATTCTTGTTAGGTGCATAATATCATGGCATATCAAGCACCCTGGTTCAGCTGCCGATCGTCCTGATGAACTTCGACGCCTAGCGGCTTAAGCAGATACTGATAAAAGAATAATAATCATCGGAAGATGGGTGTAATATTGGTAGCATAACGATGCTTATAAAGAAGAAGAAGAAGAAGAATATGAGAAGAAAAAAAAAGTATTTAAAAAGTGTGTGTGAGGGGAGTGGGAAACTGCAGTTTAAAACAACAATTGTTTCGTTTCCACAAATTCAGCGGCTCCAACTCTAGAAAACCCGGTTTGCTTGAAAAACATAGACCGGAACGTTATGTAAGCAAAACAAACAAGGTTTCTGAGACTTGCAAAGATGTCCTAGAAAGAGCCAGCGAAGTCAAATGTTCTCTGATTAAAGAACAGTTAATGATCACTGTATCGCTGACATAAACGTTTGTTAGGTGTTAACATGAGTAGACGTCGCACACAAGCCGAGGAAGAACTCTCTCAGAGATACCCGGTGAAGGATAATTTTAAAATAATAAATAAATGCATTTTTTTAAAGCAAAGTCGAAAGCAGAATGTTGTCTGCTTATAGTCAGTGCGGATTAAAATTGTAAAACACATGTGTCATCAAAAGCCGAAAAAAACAAAAACTTGATTAATAAATGTTTCCATAAGGGTCACTGAAAGAGTCTCAACTGAATTGTTGAGAGTTGAGCTGCTTTGCAATCTGAAGGTCAAGTGTTTATTCAGTTTAAGGACCTTTTTCACAGGTGCACTTTTTAGGCAGATCCCTGGGAATCGTCGTTAGAGCTACTGAGTTCGTGCTTCCTGTGTGACTCTCGATAGGTTACTGCATTTCTTAACCAGTAAAAATCACACAAAATGTCAGTCGCCACTTCGCTGGGACAAGTCAGACAGACAGCAGTCATGGCATCCTGCAGCTCACACATGCATCAGATGCATAATGCAGCCACTAGAGGTGCTACTGCTGAAGTACATCACTAAAATTGTTATCTATATTGATGGAAGTAGTCATCAAACAAACCAGCAGATGCACATGCATTGCTGCATAAAGCACAACAACATTATTGTAGCTACCAGCCACTCACCATTCTCAGAATAGTATACAGAACTCATCTTCAGGAGCATAGACAATTTTTCGGCTATCCTCCAAATAACGGTCCTAAATTATCGAGGCGGAAAATATACCCTAACAGGGCCTCAGTCACATGTCAATTGCGCACTTCCGTCGTCTTAAATAGCGAACCGCCAAGAGTATTCCCCACGCCGCTCACGTGGCGTGGATTGGGACTAAACTAGATAGCTGGGACTCACGAGCAGCAGCTACCGCATCTCCTGCAGCTTTCTTGATTTTATTTGCTTGTGAGTCCTAGCCATCTAGTTTAGCCCCAATCCACGCCGCGTGAGCGCAATTGACACGTGACTGAGGCCATGTTAGGGTATATTTTCCGCCTCGATAATTTAGGACAGTTATTCGGAGGATAGCCAATTTTTCTTCTCCCTTTCTAACCCCCACTGGAGCATAGGCCCTCAATGAACTCATGCCAGGTCGTTCTATCCTTCACCATCGTATGCTGCAGCTATCCTCATGTCTTCCCCATTTTTTTAACTTTGCTCTTTATCTCCCTTCTCCATATTTTTGTGTGTCTTCCTATATTTCTATGGCCCTATTGGTTCCAGCACAAAGACATTCTAGTTATATTGTTTTTAGGTTTTCTCAGCGTGTGTCCTATCCAACACCAGCGTCTTTCCTTCACCTCTTGGTCCACAGGAACTTGTTTAGTTCTCTCCCAAAGCTCTGCATTAGTGTTTCTATCATACCATTTAATTCTCTCTATTCTGTGCAGGCACCAGTTAATGAATGTTTATAATTTATTATTAATTGCCTTAGTTGTTCTCCATGTTTCCTCTCCATACAACAGTACTGATTTGACATTAGAATTTAAAATTGTTAGTAATAGTTTTCATTTTTTTGGGGAGTTCTTGAAAACAAATGTATGAGGAAAATAAGGAACATAAAATGGGATGAATTCAGAATGTCCTGACAAGCACTAGTATCAACAACTATAAGACAGAGAAGATGGTACTATATTGAACACATCCTGAGAAAAAGCAAGCAGAGAATCACCAGACAGGCATTACAATGGGAAAAAGGGATTAAGAAGGCGTGGACACCAGCATGGAACCCTAAAATGAATTTTGATAAGAGATGTTGTTCTTCACATTCACCGGCTGTAAACTCCGGCAGAAAGCTCTGGGTGTTTGTCCAGCTCCTGACTTTAGTCTTGCTCCAGAATCTGAGTGTGGTGTGCACATACGTGTTACAGATCTGGCTTATTTGTATGCAGACTTGTGGTCCCTTGCCCCTCAGGCTTTGAAGGATGTTCCCAGTTAGTCGACTCCTACAACATGCTTGTTGGGAGGCAGTGGGCCTATTCTTGTTTTCCCCTTATGGGGCCCTGGAACCCACACGGGTAACAAGACATGTTTACAGTACTGGACTGGATTCCAATAATGATGTCAAACTGGTTGCACAGGATAAAATGGAATTGACTGCAAGCCCTTTGTAACATATGATGACACAATACGACAATGATGATGATATATGAATACATCTATTGCTGTCTTTCTCTGCCTCTCTTACCCCTTTTTACCCCTTGTAATGATAATTTCTTAATCATTCTTATTCTTTTCTTATGGCTGCTAAATAATACATGTTAATGTTTTTTTTTCATAAACCAGCATTACGATGCATACAAATTATGTCAGCAGCGGGCTTTCTTTTTTGGCTCATTCACATTATTAGGTGGTGAGTATCTTGTCTTGGCAGTGTATGTTTTTGATCGTTTATAAATTTACCGGGTGTTGCTGTTATCCCAGCTTACTTTGTAATCAATTTGTTAATTCTGTTATGCAAAGTCAGTTTATAAAGTATCTGATATGTATGTAGAGAATTTGAGAGGGGGGGGGGGGAGGGGGAGGCGGTAAGAGTGCAGTAATTCACCTGGCGGTCTAAACCAGACCTGAATCCTTTTCAAGCCCAATTTTGGGGGAAGATAAATAGACCCACTGTGTCCTAAACACAAAAAACTTTAGAAAGGCATCTATATCGCAGCCTAGCTGTAAACCACAACTGAACATGCCAACCACCCATTTAAGGGCCAGTTACAAAGAAACTAGTTTTCTACTGACTGCGCAGACTTCTATTGGTCCTGCCATCACTGGAAGCATTTCATAAAGGTTTTTTTGGAAATACTGGAAATATAGCCTGACTGTAACATTCAACAGTCTCTTATGACAAATAATTTTTTTCTGGAAGAAAAGGTTCGGGGTACTTACCACAAAGAATCTAAAAAAGATTTCTAAAAAAAAAAAAAAAAAAAGATGGAAAAATACTAGTCACAAAATGTCTATTACAAGTAGTGATAAAAAAAAATTCATTTCATAAGATGGCCGAACCATTTCAGTCTTGGTTTCCCAGTGAATTTAACTATAGGTTTTTTCCAGTCTTGAACATAACACTGATTTCTGAGCAAGCAGAGATTTAAAAAAGTCTGTGCACCACAGTTCCAATGAGATGATACTTTGATTCTGAATCAAGAGGAAAGTCTCTACAATACCCTTTACTCAGATGATACAAACCTTTTTTCAGGGTTCATACAAACTGAACCCCAAAGCTTTGGACCGAAAAGCTAAAACTCAGTCTTCTAGAGGATTCTTAACCATAATAACCATAAACTGGTGCTTAAGTGACTCTGGGTCAGTGATTTGCAACCTTTTTCAGGTGGTGCTTCCTTGAATATCAGCCAAGAACACACAAACTCCCAGCCTATAATTAAATGCAGTTTATCTTACTAATTCGAATTGAATGGCAAGTTTGTCTCTGCCTTATGTGCCTCTGTGTGTGATCTTCTTCTGCGATCTCTGGTCATGCGCATAATCCACTGTGGGTCATAAATTGGGATGTCTTTTCAAGGTCTCTTAGGTTTCCCCAAAGCTTAGTTGTCAGTTCTACTGGGTGTTGCCATATGTCGCTCCGCAGCTCCGCCAGGAGAGGACAGTCTTGCAGGACATGTTCTGGGGTCTGTTCAGCATGAAGGCACTGGCAGAGAGCTGTTTGACTCATACCTAATTTATATGAGTGTTTATTGAGTCTGCAGTGTCCAGTACATAAGCGAAAAACTGTGACTTGGTCTGTTCTGTTCAAGTGTTTCAGAAAATCTTTTCCGTAGTTATAACCAGTGTTATCTGTTTCTGGTTTTCTCTTAATGAGAGTTTTGACTTCTGGAACTGTGTGTGATGAGGACTGATTCATTGATGATATTTTATTAATTAGATTTTTAATCGTAGATGTACTGACAGCTGATGAAAGCAAAAATGTGCTTAGCTTTTTTTCAAATTTGTTTTTTTTTTGCTTGCCTACCAACTGGACGGTCTTAGATCTGAAACCATATTTAGACACTTTCAGAATTTTTTGTAGCCTAGGGTTGCCATTTCAGCCCAACCTTAAATAAGTAACAGGAATTGTCCTCAGAAGGAAATGTTTTTGGGCAAAGTTCACCCAACAAGTGCTGGCTGCTCAAAACAAAGACAGATCTAGCAGCCTGTTTGATGCGCTGAAAACTTGAAATGGATGCTTCCCCCCCCCCCCCCCCCCCCCCCCCCCCCCCCCCCCCGCTTTTTTCCAGCTCCATTTTGGGGAATAAAGAACAGCCCACTGCTGCCCCTCTCCCCCTCCACTTTCCTAAACAAGCAAGCGTGTCATATAAGGCAAGTAATTAGGGTGTTTTCTTGAAAGTCAGAGCGCATCAACCTGGGAAGCAAGAAACCAAGTCTGCAAACATCTAAGCATAATCTGTAGATTGGATGTGCACACAGAACTCAAGTTCTGAATCAAGACCAAAATCCAGCAGTGAATGAACAACCAGAACTTTCCGCAGGAGTTACCCACCACTGAACGCTTAGAAGACAGCCTAGTTTCTGAATCAGATACCATCGTGCTAGCTGCTCTTCCAAAGGCAAGCACAGAAGAAGGGTGTGTTATTTTTTACCTGCTACCGTGCCAACGCTGCATGTACTTCTAACTAAATACCCTACTGTGTCTTTCTGTTCTGCAGTGACTGCTTCTACATATATTATAATGAACCAGTGGTTGCAGAAGTATAGTCCGAAACTTAGTAAAAACTGGCTAGTTGGCGGTCCTTTGATTGCTGGAGCAATCGCATCTTACGCTGTAACTGCAACAAAGAGTGCCGATTGTAAAAATATGTGGCTGGCCATGGAAGAAAGGCATTCAGTTATAACACCTGCTGAAGGTAAGGTTTTCTCAGTAAATTTAATTATTAACTTTCACTGAAATATATTGTGAATGCTCATATTACTTATTTCTTCTTATGTCCCCTATTGCAGACTAGTTCCTCAACCAAGCCTTACTAAACTGTCCCTTCTGTTTTCTGAAGTTTGTTTATTGTGCTCCCTATATTATGCAGTGCAAAAAAAAAAAAAAATTTACAGTATGTGACGCGTGCGAATGTTCGCTTGATACACCGCACACTTGCCAAGTATCCATGGTATGCTGAATAGTGTTACAGTAACATTCCCGCCCAACAGCAATAAAGGACGCCGGATACATGTGAACGTCAAAAACAGAATTAATGTATTTCTAATTCCAACACCAAAACAATGAAAGGCATCACGAGAATAAAACGTTACACCGCCACAGTAATTTCTACTGGCAAGGCAACACACACTACGGACGCTCTGGGCTACTTCTACTGCCACCCTGTCCCGTGGTCAACTACGAGCAAACATTACCTGCTCGTGCAAACTCACTGCTCGTGATTATGTGTCTACCTCTATGACACCCATCCCTTGGGTACACTGTCATAGCAGAATCATACAGGCCGATGCACAGTACATTGTGAAACTTGTCCAGACCTTCCGTCTGCGGCCTGACACGTAATTGAGATCTAAATAATCTCACCACATGAGCGTCTGTCACGCTGGCGCGGCCACTGTAACAACACTCACAGACAGCCCGTACCCTACCGCCAGCGTAACACAGTTATGCAGGACCAGCCTGGAACCATCTAGATTAGAACAGGCTTCCTATACAGCGTCGTAGAGTCCAGGGTCACTCACTCTCTCTCTACATTCCGTTCAATGTGTGCTGCACCGCACCAAGTTTTACGTTCAATAATGAACTTCCCTTCCCATATATTGCACACAACAGTGTGCAGAGCAATGCGTTACCTCATTGATGTTCCAACCATGTATGTGAGAGCAGTCATCTACCAAGCTTGTGTGTATCTCTGCTAATACACACCATCCACTTCACAGTGAGATCCGCAGGTTAAAAAGAGGAAAATCCTGGGTGTCAGCTTGAGGAAATTATTCAACAAGTTTATTCAATTGAGGACATAGAACCTGGGGAGGAATAGATACGAGTGCCAGCAGAGTTGGGTATATTCTTTTCAGTCTGCATAAAACTGCGTAGTTTGCAAACAAGGCCCGGCCCTTTGGTGGTGATCCCCCAAAACGTCTAGAACTGGCCCTACCCCAACCCACCTATGTCCCACGAGAGAGTACAGCCTAGGTCGCATGACTGCATGCAGCCTCTCTACCGCCCCCAAAAATATTACTGTCCCGTGACCTGCAGATTTCCCATTTTGGGTAGGATATTAATAAAGCACCAAAGACTACAAGAACTTCAGGTCAGAAGAGGTGTCACCAAACATATGAACACTATACAGGTAGCAACAACAAAAAAAAAAATTGTAAACCAACACAGAACTTTTAGTATATACTGAAGATGGGATCCGAGGGCTTATGCGCTTGTCCTCTACAGTGAGGTAAATTTTTCGATTAACTATGTTATGCAGTTCTAGCTTTTTAAGTGCCAGTTCTGGATTTTTTAGTTGAAGAGAGATTGATCAGATGTTCAGTTTTTATGCACTGCATCATACATCTAGAAGAGCCTTCTTTCATCTTGGGTGGCTGAGCTACTTTTTCATTCCTTATTTTTTTGGGGGGACTTTTTTTTCGTCATGGTTGGATTTGTGCAGCGAGTTTTCCTGTTGGTTCGAGTGGACAGTCCCATAACCGAGCCCTCTTACTGTAAGCTGTTACGACATGCATGGTAGATAAGTGTTAGTTACTATTCTTCGTTTTCTTTAGGGGTGTATTACACATGATCGTGCTAGCAAATGATCAAGTTTATTTCTGTATAACCAGTGAACCAAAATGGTGTTTGTGTTTTGGAGCATGAGATGCTAATGAGCATCATAAAAACAGGGGAGAGACCTGCTGCTAGAACTTCTGCAGCCTATTTGAGAAATAAATTGCAAATTGACATGCTTTGAAATAAGATGACAGAATTATTCCTTCAATTTTCTGATGAAACAATCCTTAAACCTGCCACCCAGTTGAGATCCCTTTTTCACGCCTTTAGAGAAAGCACCCATATTTGTACAGACCAATCGGCACTATGTGGGTAATGTGGTCAGCATTACGCCGGCTGCCTTTACTTCCCCAGGACATCCATCCTGGTACCCATTTGAGGCTGGGTCAGCCTGCGACACCCCATACCATAAAAAAAATCCACCCAGTCAGTAGCAGGATTCGATGGAGTTACAAGTTAGACTTCTTACCCCTAAGCCAACTGGTTAGGAATCTTTAAAACAGTGTGACTGGTGCCAATCCTATCATTTTAATTTCCATCTCTGCTTGTTACCCCAGCAACTCCTCTGTATTGATTTTCTACTTAGCTGTAGAAAGACTTCATTTGACACCATTAACATATCAGCCACAACAATCAAATGTCAATTTTCTCTCTCCCCCACAGAGAGGCTGGCACAAAGGATGAAATCTGGTGAGTGATGGGTATGCTGTGGAAGCTGATAAGCAGTAGGAACTGGATGTACTCACGAACTTAAGAGATCAAGATTGGAATTATTTATTATTGGTGGGGACATATTGCCATAGTGCAAATTAAGATGTTGACGTAGATTAAGACTGTGTGGTTTCATAATAAGACTGGTACAGGTTCTGGCGACTCATGGGCCATGTGAATGTTTCATCTCCAGTTTGATTTAGTGGCAGGCAGACAGCTTTGACAAGCACGGCCTACCCTAATCAACTGTAGAAATAAAAGAGAAATTTAATTCCTTTATTGTCCAACTCACATAGTTGCCTCCACTCTGTTCTGTTCACTCAGTTCAATATAGTCCAGCATTGTTTCATCTTAACATTAAATTTATGTTTATTTAGCAAAGTAAAAAAAAAAGTATTAGAATGGAAACTACACTTTAACCCTTTCGCTGCTATGGACGTCTTTTCCCGAACGCTGCTACGCCCGACTTTGGATGTTATTTTTTTTCTTGACCGCCAGTGCTATGGACGTCCCAAGCCGTTTTTATACTTGTCTACAGATTTCTGTTACCTCGTATTTTATTGGCTAAAAGGCAATATACATTAGCTATATTTAGATTAAAATGACCCATTTACATACGACTAAAAGCACTGGCACATGCTTTTAGGCGTGTTTAAGGTGTGTTTACTGCATTTTGCGTTATCCCGTTGCTTTGTTTACCGTGACAGCGTGGTCCGTGATCTGTGTATTTTGTGCCCTGATATATATTTGTGCTTTTGGATTATTCTACACTTAGTACAAAATGGCAAGAAAACTTGTTAAAGTTGATGAAGAATTGATGGAGTTTCTGTCAAGAAGTGATAGAGAAGATGACTTTGAAATGTGTACTGACAGTGAACAAGAAGATTTGACTAGGCCATCAGTATCGACTGCTGAAACCGGCGTGTCCAAAAAAAGCTGTTTGCCTGTCCGACGTCCTCATCGTCGGAATCAGAGAGCAGCGACAATGAAGCGCCATCAAAACGGCAATAAATTGATCAGTTGTCTTGATGAACCGATGATTTGAAACCAGTAGTGCATAATTTTGATGACTCCAGCTCTATCTGTATTTCTGCTACTGTAAATTCAAACAGTTCAGTCACTAAAAATTATCGTCTTTCCCGATGGACAGACACAGATTCGGACGAACTTTTTTTTTTGCTGTCTGCCTGCTAATGCTTAGAACAAAGAAACTCAAAATAGAGTACTTGAGCAAAGACTATTTGCTAAAGACTCCCGTAAAATAATGTCGAGTGACATATTTTTACTATTGTTAAGAATCTCAAAAATTTCTCAGACAACAGTGCTCATACAGGCGGCGAGACTACAAGCTTAGACACGTTATCGACAGTCTGCGCACATCATTCACACAGCGCACTGCACCAAGCGGTAGCATAGTGTAGTTGGTGTCAAGTTCGCCTTAGAATCGGAGGGTCATGTGTTCAACCCCCCAAGTTTTTTTTTAAATATTAATTGTAAATTTTCCTTTCAGTTCCTGCTACTTTTCAGCAACGGACGACTCAAGTATTATTATTATTATTTTTTTTTTAATTTGGTATGTAATAACATGGTAACTACAAATAACTATGATTAAAGTGGCAGCCGTGGTAGGTTCGTCAATCAAATTTTGGGATACGGACTGGGAACAGTTCTTCCCATTAAACCCCCCCCCCCCCCCCCTTCAGAAGGGTGATAGGTCCGTTATTCAAGTTTGTGGGGCACCATCGTGCCTCTGACTTGTCACCACTCGGACCAACCACACAACTCCCCAGGGTAAAATTTTTAGGTGTACAAAATATAGCCCTCACCGCCGACGTATCTTTTGCGTTTGGAGGATAGAAAAGTATTGCGCACAGCAGAGACTTTTTTTTCACATTGCTTAACACAGGGCAGACAACTATTTCCGGGAACGTAGCAGCGAAAGGGTTAAGAGTGACATTTTGTTTCTCACGCTGTGATAATTTATATGTCTAGTGAGAAATCGCAAGTGTTTTAAACACATACTACTGTGAGCAGAGAAATGACAAGAGGCAGTCTTTGAACTAACTATACCCAGGAGCCCAGATTAATTTTAAAGAAATAACCTGGTGACAAATGTCTGCAAGTTAAAGCACACACACAACTCCAGAATGTCATGATTAAACAGAATAACATATGCTACCCTGTTCTATGCATATCTACATTAACTTCCTCCTCCCCCCCCCCCCACTTTTTTTTCTTCTTTTTTTTTCTTCTTCTCACTTAAGAGAAAGTGAAAGGTTGGTAGAGTTTTAAGTATCACATAAGACATTCAAGTAGACTTTGCAAAATTAGTAACAAAATTTATTCCAAGTGTCAATGTTATTGCATTACAAAGTTTACAAAACATGAAAAGTAAACAAAAAATTATTCAGATCTAACAAATGTTGAAAACAATTTGGAAAAAAAAAGAACCACTAGTCAAACTTACAAAAACAATAGCTTGGGATCAGTAAAGTGCATCAGGTGAAAGTGCAAACAGAAAAAAGTTGCCTAAAAATACAATAAAGCCTGCAATATTTGTGCCCAAAGGCAGTGAGTGCCCAACTGAAACCGAAAAGAAACTTGTTATGTGAAACCTATCAAAAGCAGTCCCTACTTGAGACAAAGACCTATGACTCCAAACAGGCAAAAGTCGATTCAATTGTTCTGACATGAAAGGATCTCATGTCCACTTTACTGTGCCTGGCCCTCCTCTTCCTCCTCTTCAAATTCACCTTCATCCTCGGCAGTGGCATCCTGGTACTGCTGGTATTCAGAGACCAGATCGTTCATGTTGGATTCTGCCTCTGTGAACTCCATCTCATCCATGCCCTCACCGGTGTACCAGTGGAGGAAAGCTTTGCGACGGAACATAGCTGTGGAAGTACAAATGATGTGCTTTGAAAGTTCAATCCTACCAATAAATGTCACTTTGCAATATTTAAAAGAAAAAGCGATAGTAACTATTAAGGTATTTCTTGTATTCATCTGTAAAAAGGTGTTTGGCACATTATGCTGCAGGTAAACAGATTGATAACTGCCTTTCAGTCTGACACATCAAATCCTCAATTAGCTGTTTCTTTTTTTTTTTACGGCATGCGCCTTAGGGCCGTACGCCACTAACAGTCCTTTCTTAACTTCATAGCTATCATCACAGCAATAATTAAATACAAGCATATTGTTCTAGCATTATGCGTGTCTTTAATTTCAATGGGTGTTTGGTAACACTAGAAATTTCTTCCTCATCATGCTGGGCCCAGGAGGACAACTAATGCAGATAGCCTCCGTTATCTCAGACTTTGTTGAGTTGGCAACATGACTTTGTTGAGTTGGCAACATGAGTCTAGGTCTGCAAGTATGTTATTCCGACTTTACACCTGCCTCATAATCTACTCCCACTCTGCGTAACACAACAAATATGAATGGGCTATACATTGCAGGCTGGTTCAGGCGATCTCAGATGTGAATATCTGTATTTATATTTGGATAAGAGGAATTTCTGATAAGGAGAACTTTCTTGAGTTCCTCGTGAGTTATCAGGTCTACACTGATCATAAGATGAGGCAGTCTGTTGGTCAAATTAAAAGAGAAATTTTTCAGCACAGATTTTGGCTGCCAGCCACAAGCTAAGGACAATTATGACAGTGCCAGCCGACAAAGCTATTGATGACGATCTGCGTTCAACGGCCGTAAAGTTCTGGACATCCATCTGCCTCCGGACTTTTATCTTATTCTAGAACCTAAGTTGTGTGCACATCCGTTTTACATATGTGACATATATGTGTGCAGACTGTAGGTTCCTTGCCTCTCAGGTAGTCGACTACATGCTAGTTGGGAAGGCAGTCTGTTCTTGTTTTCCTCATATTGGGGCTCCCAGAGCCTGTCCCCGGCCATGCTGTTATGCCTCCCACAGGAAGGGTGATCAGCATACTTGTAATATAGCTGCTTTCACTGTCAGCTTTATGTGGTGATCATGCTATAAATCGTTTTAGATATTTTCCAAATATGTTTATTCAAGTCAAGGTTGTGGTTTCTACAATATTCGTTTTTTAATCTTAATCTGTGTACATCAGCACTCCCCCACAGAATGAAGAGCGGGAAAAGTTACAAATCAAATGGTTGCTTACCTGTGAACTGTTCAGAGATGCGCTTGAACAATTCCTGGATGGCTGTGCTATTACCAATGAATGTGGCAGACATCTGTAAGAACATTTATTGAATCCGATAAATTCACCAGTAACAAAAAAACAAAAACAAAAAATACTTGCAACTTGAGTATCTAAAAACACATGCATATGGAAACCGATAAACAGAAATGTCTAGGCAACCACTAATATTAATTGTAAGAAAAAAAAAAAAACGATGGTGACATAGTTCACATCATAAGGAACAGAGAACCAGCAAACAGGCATTGAAATAGAAAAGAAATGGACTGAGGAAACTAGAACATCCAAGAGAAACCCTGAGAGAAGCCAAAGGTGCTGGGCAGGATTCATCCAAGATTGCACAGAATACTGCATAACCCTACGTCATGTATAACAATTAAAAGCACAAAAATTGGTGATAGAAACAACCCCAACAACAAGTATGCAATGCACAGCACAAAGTTAACTGGCATCTTCTGATTTAAGAGCGCCTTCATTTTTTTTATATATAACAAAATGACGAAATTACTGAACTGACTAACACTTATAGAAGTTTAAAAGGGGGTACAAATAAATGTTGCTTGGTATTTAAACAAATACCTGGATTTGAAGACACAACCTGGCTGAAAAAAGCATGCTTTAAAACATGGGCCACAAGACACCGTAAAGTGTTACGTGTACCAAAGGCAAAGTGTCATGATTTGGAAACTAGAAAACAGTAACTATTTTATTACCAATCTATATGTGGACATAGAATCAGCTGTCATAAACTTTTATGTTAAAGCTACATAAAACTTTTTCTTCATGTAAGAAAACAAATGTCAGCAGGTAACGGGGCAATGGAAGCACTGTCAAGTCTCCCCAGCACGAAGCCAGCAATGTTAGTCTCCCTGTTGCTATCATTACATCACAGCTCTAGATGCTGAGAGGCACAAATGTCTTCACAGGAACAAACTACCCAGCGAGGAAGAGTAGGTTATGTCAAGAGGGAAAAATTATGCCACACTGGATCAAAAGTTAACAGGAAAAATTATAACGTCAATTGTTTCAACTGGAAAAATAAACTACCAAAATTTTCAACCCAATCCACCCCCGGGTGTTTTTCAGGGCCCTACTGTAGGGAAAAGAACACACCCACTTGCCTCCCTAACAAGCATGTTGCAAGAGTCAGCTCGTGGGGAGGTGGTCCTTTGAAGTCCGAGTGCATTTGCCTGAGAGGCAAGGAACCAACAGTCTGCATTTAAATAAGCTAGATCTGTAAAAGTGATGAACATGCAACATTCAGGTTCTGGAACAAGATTTGAGTCCAGAGGTTTACAAGCAACCAGAACTTGTTGCCAGTGTTCACAACTGGTGAACAAAACAAAAAACAAACAAGAGAAGAAGAAGAACCCAGATAGACAGCCCAAGAAGAAGAAACAGAGACAAGCGCATTTGTTTACAACAACAAATGTCAGCAGGTAACGGGGCAATGGAAGCACCGTCAAGTCTCCCCAGCACGAAGCCAGCAATGTTACTTTCCCTGTTGCTATCATTACATCACAGCTCTGGATGCTGAGAGGCACAAATGTCTTCACAGGAACAAACTACCCAGAAAGGAAGAGTAGGTCATACTTGGATGGAACAATTATAATGTCAATTGATCAAAGTTTTAACAGAAAAAATTATAACGTCAATAGGTCAAAGCTTCAACAAAAAAATGTTATGTCAATGGGTCAAAAGCATCGCCAGGAAAAAATTACTACCACATCAATTTTCAGGGCCCCCAGAGAGGCAAGGGACCAACACCAACAGTCTGCATTAAAATAAGCTAGATCTGTACAAGTGATGTACATGCAACACTTATGTTCTAAAACAAGACTAAAGTCCAGAGGTTCCACGAGCAACCAGAAGAATCCAATCCAGGTGGACAGCCCAACAAGAAGAAACAAAGACATAATGAAGGACATTTGGGCTATCTTCCGAATAACGGTCCTAAATTATTGAGGCGGAATATATACTCTAACATGGCCGCAGTCACATGTCAATTGTGCACTTCGGTCTTAAACTGCGCGCTTCCGGTGACTTCCGCAGAGAGTATCACGTAACGTGGATAAACTAGATGGCTGGGACTCACGAGCAGCAGCTACCGCATCTCTTGCAGCTTCCTTCTTTTATTTGCTCGTGAGTCCTAGCCATCTAGTTTAGTCCCAACCCATGTCGCGTGAGACTCAGCGGTGCCGGAAGTTCGCAATTTCGGCGGTGGCATTATAGTCTCCAGAAGTGCGCAATTGACACTTGACTGAGGCCCTGTTAGGGTATATTTTCCGCCTCGATAATTTAGGACCGTTATTCGGAGGATAGCCGACATTTGTTTACTACATAAATTTTTTTTAAACGTGTCAGCTGGTAACGGGGCAATAGAAGCACTGTCAGGTCTCCCCAGCACGAAGCCAGCAATATTAGTTTCCCTGTTGCTATCATTACATCACAGCTCTAGATACTATGATGCACAAATGTCTTCACAGGCTGTAGTCTGAATGAGCAATACATATATTAATGATAACCCTACGCAAGGGCTATTATGCAGCTAAGTTTACTCTGGGGCCAAAATCTTGAAACAAAGGATCGTCTCGTGCTAGAACCCCAGCACAGAAAGATAATTAATACAACTGACAATTATCCAAAGGCCAGGTGCTAGGCCTCTGGGTGAATAGCCCAGTTCTATTTCATGTAATAGAAAAATGCCACTGCAAAAAAAAGTAAAATAACACAAGCAGGAAGAAAGGCAGCCCTCTGTCAATGAATAAATTCAGCAAGGCTAACAATACATAAAATTTGTTCTGGCATGACAATATACAAGGCAATCTAGAATAGACTAATACTATTGAAATAATACGTTTAACTTGTTAGGGTCAATGTAGGGTTACAACAGGCTTTACAAACTGTAGGGGGATATATACTACTCAACAGCATCCACTACCGATAACCCAAATTACCCATACATCGTCTCACACACCCTAGAGCAAATCTCCCCAAATATTTCATGCTAGTGACACTGCCTTGTGATGCCACACAAGGTACACATATCACGAGGAGGTAGAGCACAAAGTAGACCAAAACTAAGACGGAAAGAAAACATCAGAGTAGCACGATGTATCTATGGCCGAGGAGGTCAGCATAACAAGAAGCAGAACCTTATATCTCTTGACGTTGAAAGCAGTAAAAGAGGAAGTAAAGAAGATACTTTTAACACAAAAATAATTGTCCAGAGATGCAGTCTGCTAAAAGACCAGAGTTTAAACTTAGCCATCTATTATAGATAGATATAAAAACTGTTTAACAGCACACTGCGCTGACACACTAAGTAAAGCTCTGCACTTGGCTTTACATTCAACTGTGAATGAAAACACAACCCTCACCTTCAGACCACGTGGGGGAATGTCACAGACAGCTGTCTTCACGTTATTGGGAATCCACTCAACGAAGTACGATGAGTTCTTGTTCTGGACGTTCAGCATCTGCTCATCCACTTCCTTCATAGACATACGACCACGGAAAATGGCAGCCACTGTCAGATAACGTCCATGGCGGGGATCACAGGCAGCCATCATGTTCTTGGCATCAAACATCTGCTGAGTCAGTTCAGGAACTGTCAGAGCTCTGTGGAACAAAAGAAACGCCAACTCAACTTACTAGCAGACAGCAGAAAAAGTCATATTTAATGGGATGTTTTTAATTCATTTACCAATTTCCACATTGCCCCCCCCCCCCCAAAGTGAAATTCAGTTTTAAGTCTTGACCCTTTCGCCCCAGTGACCTAGGGAAAAAAATTAACTGGCTAACAGGAATTAACCGATAGGCTTTTGTAAGCCTTTGAAAAATTATTGCGTGACAATGATCGAGTAAATGATACTATCAGACAAATTGTTGAAACGACGCCTTGTACTAGTTTCATTGAGAAACAGCAGATCAAGTGGTTTGGCCATCTCGTTAGAAGCTAGCAAGATCAAATACCATCACAAGCACTACATCTCAGAAAATTTGCCACAAAAGCAAGAGGACTGCCACAGAAATATGGATCAACAAAATTAAAGACACACTGCACCTTCACGGCATGACAATAGCCAGTGGCAGCCAACGTGCACTGGATCGCAAATTATTCCTCCCCACCACACTCAACAGCAAAAATGGTATATGATTATAATTACCTGACCCTGTAACCCATAGGAATATGACTATTTTCTATCAATAACGCTGTTTTTTTCACAAGCATCCCTCTTTAAATGACATCTGTAGTATAATGCCTGGTATTACTATACAAATCAATTCTGCTCACTGGGATTCTCATAATCAAGCCACTATAAAAAGCAGAGAACGCAGATTTTACAGGAGGAAAAAACCAAAGTGGGAACGACAGGGTTAAAAATTGTAATGTAAACAAATTAACAATTCCCTAAATTGAAAAAAAAAAGTAAAGAGGTTCAACTGTTTTGCTCTTGAGATTATAAATAAATGTATGCTTCATAAAATGAACGTGCTAGTGTGAGATAAAGGTTGAATTAGGCTTTATGAGCTAAATGACATATTTTATTTGAGAAAAACAATTTAGTAGACATGCACACAGACCAACCACAAATGTATCAGGTACCCATGAAGACTGGGCAATCACATATTTACAGACTGGTACATACAAGGATTAGCCAATCATCACACGGGGTACACTCTTTTGGGCTGGTAAGAATTGACTACGACCACAATGACCATGAACACACAGAGTATGTAATGTATGTTACCTGTACTGCTGGCTGCCTCTGGATGTGAGTGGGGCAAACCCTGGCATGAAAAAGTGGAGACGAGGGAAGGGCACCATGTTGACGGCAAGTTTCCTCAAGTCAGCATTCAGCTGTCCAGGGAACCTGAGGCAGGTGGTGACCCCTGACATGGTGGCGCTGACTAAATGGTTGAGGTCACCATATGTAGGGGTGGTCAGCTTCAAGGTACGGAAACAGATGTCGTACAGAGCCTCGTTGTCAATGCAGTATGTCTCATCTGTGTTCTCAACTAGCTGGTGGACTGAAAGGGTGGCGTTGTATGGCTCAACAACTGTGTCAGATACCTGAAAGCATTACATGTATGTTTAGCCAAGCAGTGGGTATATTTTATGTTACATCTCTGCTTTTCACTGGGTCTCTAACAACAACACAAAGCTGTTCAAGAAGCAGAGATGATTCTATCAAAAATAACTCCAGGTTATGCAGGTATCACTTTCTTACTTTTTTTGGTTAATCAACTCACAGATGATTAAAGTAGTTTATCAGAACAATAAATGTAACTGAAAATGTAAGCAACCATTCCAAAAGTAAGATAGTAACTGACAGTAAATTTAATCATAGTGATCTACCAACAGGACACGGGTTCAAATCCACAGTAAGTGGGTTTTTTGGTTGGCAAAAAAAAAAAAAAAAAAAATCCGACCTGTAGTCTATGGTGACAGCACTAGCCATGCGAGCCTAAATCCTCAGACTTTTGTGTGTGAACCCTTAAAACCGATTTAGCTTAGTAGTATTTACAGGGCTGAGTCACAGATGGAAATCCTGGGTTTGCGGTGTTTCGGCGACAGAGTATTTGTTCATTATTGGCTAGATTCTGCAATATTCTCCACAGGATGTCCAAGCCATATTGACATGCATTATTCTGATTCCTTTATGGCCTCTGGTAACCAATAGTCACCTCCATTAATGACAAGATGGGGACTCCTTTGCCATAAAAAAGGAAGCTGGCACACTGTGTTGTGGTTTTCAACTAAACAGATATCTGGGCCTTTGGGCCCAACATGTCCACTTTCAGCAGAACCCCCCCCCCCCCCCCCCCCCCCCCCCAACGTGCCTGTTAGTAAGTTAATATTAACCCACCAGGGCATCACATAGATTGATAAACACCCGGTGACACAAAGTGCTACCATGCGAATCACCCGTGGAGGTTCCGGACATCAAATGTATTCTGTCAGCTCCCCAGAGGTCGAGGACGAAAGTATCCATAAGTTCTGTTAAAAACTGCCTGTGAAGCCAACCCACAACCTAAACAGCGTGAGGCAACGGACTGACCACTTTGCCAGAGGGACCACAAACTTTCTACAAATGTTTTTTAAACACCATCTGACTAGGTTCCTCAAACACATCTAGTATGGTTGAAGACTTACTTTAGGGGAAGGTACAACGGAGAATGTGTTCATGATCCTATCTGGGTACTCTTCCCGAATCTTGCTGATCAAGAGCGTGCCCATGCCCGAGCCAGTGCCGCCTCCTAGTGAGTGTGTCAGCTGGAATCCTGCAACAATCAGGCAACACAAGTCAACACCCAGAAGTGACCATCGCTAATACTGTCAGATCCCTGTGTGTCAATTCACTGTATATCAATAAGCAAGCAAATTACGAAAGTGCTAATATCAACACTGTGCTTTGGAACTTTTCACTTAATCGTTCATGCAAGTAATGTTAGTACGTTGTGCATGTTTACAGCCAAGCTGCCATGTTAGCACTTTCTGACCAAAACATCTAATTTCTTACGTTTTTTTTAAATCCAGGTTAGCTATCCCAGTCTGTTTCATGGGACATCTGTAGCCTCATCTGTGTGGTGACTTCAGTCACATGGTGGTGCACTTATACGGCAACCACATGAAGTACCACTGGTCCTCAATAAGCACCTTGTAAATATGACTAATTAAGGGGTGTCCTTTAAAGTCCGAGGGCATCTGCTGAAAAATGAGGAACCAACAATCTGCATACAAAACTCCTAGAAGAAGTAAAAAAAAAATTTACTTCTAGTTTACCACCTGTGAACGCAAAAAAGGATCAAAATTATCCGCAACAGAACAAGGAAGGTATGGACAAAACTAATACCTTGCAAGCAATCACATCCTTCTGCTTCTTTCCTGACCACATCTAAGACTGAATCAACAAGTTCAGCGCCTTCTGTGTAGTGCCCTTTTGCCCAGTTGTTGCCGGCACCAGACTGACCAAAGACAAAATTATCTGGTCGGAATATCTGACCAAATGGTCCGGACCGAACACTGTCCATTGTGCCGGGCTCCAAGTCGACAAGGACAGCTCTGGGTACATATTTGCCACCTGTTTCAGAAAGAAAAAACACAAGGCTATCTTAATTTAACTGCATAATTTATTACCAACTAGCAAGAGAAATATGTAAACCGAGATTATATTAAAGTTACAACACATACATAACTATTGAGGCTGTCTCCACAGTAATGGACATGCCTACAGCAAACAGAACCGGGCTCTGAAAGCTGTTTTACTGCAAATTTACCATTATACGAAGATGCAGAAGCAAAGAAGAGCTATTAATAATCTCACTGACAAAGATGCTAGATGTTCAGAAAATTATGGTTAAAAGAAACTGAATCTTTGCATGCTGCTAAATCAGCATCAGTTTCTCATGAAAATAAGAACCAAACCAAGATTGCTGTTATTGAAATCGATGTCACTGCTTATTGGACATTCCCATGTCTTCTCAGTCCTATGATGCAGCAGCCACTCTAAGGTACTTTTACTGTTTTCATGAGAGGTTGGTTATAATGTCTTAAAGGTGGCCTTCACCATGCTTTACGCTTATGTCAAACAATCATGTTAGTGCTAAAGATTCGTCATAATCCACTTGTACAGTCCATACAGCGGGACGACATCTGCTCTGAACATACTTCTTCCTATATGCATGGATGCATTTTTTGCCAGTTAGTCCACTGGCTAATTACTCTCTATGCCAGCATGAGCAGGTGTGCATGGTTAATTGCGATTTTCAAATGCTTTCTACCCAGATTTTACACCAGGGGTCCTGGGCTGAGTTCTTGATATATTTTCTCAAGGTATGTAGGTGTATTGGCAAATGAACAGGCAGATAAAATGGCTAGTTCTGCACAACTTGGCGGTGGACTGATGTATGACAAGCTAGATGTTGTAAGGGTTCTAGGGGAAGGGGGGGTGTGTGTATACGTGTGCGAACAGGGGGGAGGCACAGATGGATTATTACCATGTAAAGAGGGTGGTGCGGAGAGGAGTGACTAGGTGAACGATCAACACTCAGGAGACAGGTGAAACAGATATACTGACTGTTACCATAATAACTAGGGGGCAGGACGAGCGCCTGAGCGGTCGCTGGGCATGGCATCTGAAGTTCCCAGGTTCAGAACCCCGGTAAAGGCTGGGATTTTTTCATGTGGCCGCATTGACAACAAGTAGCGAAATCTTTTAGATGGCATCCAATTTAGGTAAGGCCAGCCCAAAAGCCTAGGCCAGTGCAGAAAGACCTGTCTTTCCTTTAAGCAAGAGCTTGATTCACATCCCAGAAACAGACTTCCTATTACTGTTACATGAAACCACAAAAGGCTGAAAACAATATGCTTGATCTAAAAACTTCAATGTGTGAACGCGGAGGAGAATAAAAGGGTAAACAACTATCATTATGATTTACTTGGCTACAACAAGCCACTAACCTGTTGCTTCATTGTAGTAGACATTGATCCTCTCTAGCTGAAGGTCGCTGTCCCCATGGTAGGAGCCGGTGGGGTCAATGCCGTGCTCATCTGAGATCACCTCCCAGAACTGTCAACACAATCATGGCTATAATTATTTCATCAGACATCTGTAAGTTTACTTTTATCAGTTATCACTTCCTGTGTGGGTTTTGGTGCCCTATATTCTGGGAAAAAACCAGAACAGGGGGACCCCTGACGTGTTGTAAGAGTTTAATTGGGAGCTTCCTTCAAAAGCGGTGCTTATGCCTGAGAGGTTAGGAATTAAGTCTACATGTGCATGAAAAAAAGCTAGATCTTTAAAACACTGCATAAAGCACTCAGGCTCTGAAACATGATTAAAGTCCAGAGGTGGGTGAACAACCAGAACTTTCCTCCTAAGTTTACAGCCACTGAATGGTGCCATTATCCAGTAATCATTCATGGTCCCATAACACCACACATCGCTGGGTCACCAGCTGTTGTTGAGCTGACTGACTAGTTCCTTCAAACCGACAGCCAGATGTCAGGGACTTTTATGTTATGTTTGCATGTAAGCCTGTCCATTTATCCATATTATAAAGTAACTTCTTGGTCTGCCTCCTCTCAAGATAACAGTACAAGATGCAGAACTACACCAGCTGACCTGAGTTTATGCTGTACATGTATAACCAGTTTGCTGCAAAGTTGGATTGGAAACATGACTTTATATAAATACATCATATAACATATAGCACAAACAAATTGCAAGGTGGTTTCAGATACTAGACTGCATAAGAAATTAGGTGAGCTGTGAGTTAGGGGCTAAGCAAAAGTAGGTACTTCAGTCAAATTTTTAAAATGCCCTCTACACCAATAAAACCAGCACAGTTAGATAGCTGTAAACAATCTCTTTCCAATGGTACCTCATTTAGGCTTGTATGTCATTTCTGAGCTGAGATATGTAGGTTTTTGTGGAGATGAGATGTAAGAAACAGCCGCTAAAACTTGTGACCCACAAACAAGAAGTTTTTTGACTGCGCAACCTACTGCGCAGTTCTGTATCGGCTTTGTTGACATTGGACTGTCATTGGACAAGATGGCAGGCAGTGAGACTCAGCTCACTCAGCCGCATGCAATTGCCTAAAAAATGTCACTGTAAATCTAAACAGCCAGAGTCGGTAAAAAAAAATTTAATATGCAAATGTAAAATTGGACGGAGAATTCAACTGTAACTAGCATTACCACAACTGGTAATGTTTAAGGCCTAAAGCCAACCTCGAATTTACCGCTATTTTCAATCAAACTGATGACTAACAGAAAAACAGAAGAGTCCGGCTGTCGTAGACATGCGCTGTTAATCGGGTTCCCCCACGCTGTTTTCAGCTATTTATAGCTGGTCCAAATTCCCACCAATGGCAAAATTTCATGAGAGATTTGGACCCACACGGAAACCAGCCGAGATTTCCCGAACAAGTTCTGAACGGTTTCCGGGTAACGGAAATTGCCGAAAAGACCGCAAATTGTCGAAACTGTAGTCCCTAGCAAAAGAACAATGTGCTAGTCTATCTGCAACAAACTATGCATTTTTGCATTGGCTGCAACAGATTTCTGAGTGCATGGATACAATTTTTTCAATCTGCTGATTTCCTGTTCACTAATTCATGATTTGCTTATCTTTTTTTTTCATCAAAACAATCTGCTGTCAATTATTTTATGAAATTTAAGGTTTGGGCTATCCTCCGAATAACAGGCACAAAAGATGACGGCTGCAAAAACACCAAAACAGGGCCTCAGTCACGTGTCAGTTGCGCACTTTTGGCGACTACCACCACCGCTGAGAGTATCCCCCACGCGGAATGGATTGGGGCTAAACTAGCTGGCTGGGACTCACGAGTAGCAGCTTCCGCATTACCTGCAGCTTTGCTCGTAAGTCCCAGCCATATAGTTTAGCACCAATTCACACCGCATGTGGAATACTCTCAGAGGTGGCAGCAGTCGCCGAAAAACGCATATTAGGTCGCCGGAAGTGACTGATGCCCTGTTTTTAGCCGCCATTTTTTGTGCCCGTTATTTGGAGGATAGCCCAATGGTAATAATGAATGTCTTCTCTTCTAAGTTAAGAGTTAAGTGACTAATTCATTATTTCACTGTTGTAGTTGCAGAACTTTGTTAAGCGAGTCTGCGTTGATTTGAACACAAGAGAAACTGCATATCATTATGTAAATGATCAAATGTTATGACTTGTATAAGGCCATTTTCATAATCAAATCAATAAATCAATTTATTCATACGTGGCCAATGTGACTCACTGTGTAGCAGCTGTTAGTGAAACATCTAATCCAAACAAACACCTAAATAATCAATTCTATCAATTCTAATGCAGCGAATTGGAAATGTAAACAAAATACGCACGAAATCTTGGATGTGCCTTTAGCCTTTATCGAGGCAAGGCAATCACAAGTAAAATGAATCAGCAAACTCGTAAAGAATTGGCTATTTTTGTTTCTAACTTTTGCCTGCAACTATCAAGCATCATTGCAGATGAATTCACATGCATCAGTATTAATCATCTTAGCAACCAAAGTAATACTGCAGCCGTGTGCACGATTAAAATACGAAATGGATTTTTTTTTTAGATCAGTTTGATATGAACGAATGACGACGGCTCCTGTACTGCGCCCCGCCGGGTGATCACGCCAGGGTCCTGTTAGTGTTAACTTAGAACTTATTTTTTGTTATAATTTCCCCAAAAGGGACACAGCTATATTATGCAACTTTAGGAACGACTTAACTGAATCATTTAAATCAAATATTACCTTAGCACCGATCTGGTTTCCACACTGTCCGGCTTGTAAATGTACGATTTCTCGCATTTTGGAAAGAATTGTGGTTCAAGTTTGGAATGTTGAAGTGTTGCAAGTTTGGCGCTGCTGGAGACGACTTCTGGCGGGACGAACGTTGGCCGCGCATGCGCACAGCTGCTTGTGACAAAAATAAACTGTTTAAATATTTCTGACCAATCATCTTGCTCTACGTTAGCGCGCACTGAATTTGATTGGTTAGTTGTTTCACGTGACTATTCTCTAACATTAGGGGGCGGGGGTGTAGGTCTGCATTTTAAAACCATGGCTGCCAAGAATGGGTTTTACCCCCAGATCTGAGTTTTTATTTGACTCATTGGGTTCAAATTCTGAAATCTGGGTTGTTTTAAAAAATTATCTTTATATAAAAAGTGGGTAAATGTTTCATTTCGTAACTGTAAAATTTGTGCATTTTAACAATCTGGGTATTTTATTTTAGTTTTTTTAGTTCTTTGCTTTTGTATTGCTTGGGTTTTTGTAAAGCTTAGCTGGGTTTTTCAAAAAATCCTATTGGCAGCCCTGTTTTAAACATAGAGGTCATAATCATCATCAATATCAGAATCCATTTTCGTCCTTTTCGGGAAGAAATTTGTTGTTATTTGAAGCCCCACCCTGGCTTTTGCCAGGGGCCGCAATATAGGCAGGCCATAAATATGGCCACTTGTCTGAACGCGGTTTTTGGGACCTCTCTTATTACAACAACTAAGTCAACCATCTGCCGTCTCCACAATAAAGGTTGGCTGAAACTGATTCTCGGCATACTCTCTTGTCTTGTTAGTACACTCTCTCAGACTGCTGTTCGTCCATCTGTTGATATTGTCCTTCTACGTGTATCGGTGTCTACCTCTAGGTTTCTTACCTCCGACTTTTCTCTCATATATGGTTTTTACAAGAATATTATAGCTGCACCCGGGTCATTCACATTCGCGCTTCGACTCCATCTTCAACAGCCAGTGAAAGTCCCAGTTCTAGTAGTACGTGTAGCACTCTGATTATATCTCCACCTTGAGTGTGAATCTTGAGTGTCCGTCAGATCTATTGTTCCCTCCATGTTGTGCTAATCTCTCCATACCGTGATGGAACGAACTAACATCACTTTTGAAACATACAAGACTGTCAGACTTAATTCATTGACAAATCAAATTTAAAATGTTTAGAACTATTATTCATTTTCATTATATTAAATCAAGAAAATATTGTTCTAGAAAAGTTTGATCTAGGAAAGAGGAAATTGAGTTTCCAGAGCATGAATTTGATTTGCACAAAAGGGTGAATTGGCTTACCAGTCCTGTATGAGTCAACAATTCTTCTTCTTCTTCTTCTCGTTCACCAGCTGTACACTCTGGCGGAAAGTTCTGGTTGCTCGTCCACTACTGAACTGCAGTCCTGCTCCAGAACCTGAGTGTTGCGTGTGCATCAGTTTTACAGATCTCATTCTCTTGAATACAGACTGTTGGTTCCTTGTGTTAGCTGTTCCGTCACGGTGTGGAAAGAATAGTGTGAATGGGAATGACCATGAGATCTGACGGACACTCAGCATTCAAAAGACTCGCTACATAAGGATGATGTGGAAGCGACATACCCGTGGCGAAGCATGTCCAATTTGCACGTGTAAGCGGTTTAAACGAAATTAGGTATTAGCAGGTAACGACTACACTGAAAAGGGTATCACGTGATATTGTCCTTCGCTTCGCTATTGAGAGTATGCGTGTGCAGCCAGCATGGCAATATTAGTAACTGGTTGCTCTCACAGGGTACAGTTTATGTATAAGGGGTGTAGTTTAGCGAGCGTTCTTTTGGCTATGGTAATACTCTTAACAAGTTTTACGTGCTTTATCGAGACGTATATGAAGTGACGTATTTGTAATCAGTAAAAAATAAACAGTAAAATAATGCATTTTACTTTTGCACTGGAAACTGTAAGCGGTAATTGTTGCCACGCCTCGCCACTGAGAAATACTCGTGAAAACTGATGACAACTGTCAAACTGGATGGGGAAAGATCAACGAGAAGCCAAAGATACATGTTTGACCTGTCGGCAAGGCATGGATATGAGAAAAAACATATACCTCATCTATGATCCTGGGGATCGTATGACATGGGAACCCCACATATTACGCATATCTGCATGGTATACGATTATAATGAAGATGGTGATGATGATGATAATGATTTATAACAAAAATTGTTATCATTAATGCTCAGGACTAGGAGGTATAAGTAAGTTATATATGACTAGATAAACGCTGCGTCATAGGTTAGAAGGTCATTTCAGTACACACAAATGTTGAATGCAAATCTTATATTCTAGGTTGACTCTCTAGTGACAGATCAAGAAAAGACAACTTTAGTTATCTATTATACACTCATAGTATATCATCGGTGTGTAAAGCATTTGAAATAAATACACGACCGAGTTTAATGTTTCGATAGTCTGGTTATTAGTTTGAAGCAGAAAGTAACTTTCAGTATATTGTTTCCTTTCACATAATGGCGCAGAATGATTCGTTGAGAAAGTATGCTAACTACATTATGGAGAGTTGTAAGTATGTCTTACATTTGACTTGTTGGTTTGTTTGCGGCGAGGTATTTTTTTGTGTGTGGGTGTGTTTTGTTTATGTAGGATAAGGTATATGCTCATCGCTGGTAGAGTTGTCGTTATTATTACGTGGCCGATCCATTGTTTGTTCTGAGGAGTCTGGTCGAGTTGAGCTGAGTTGATTCAACATCACAGCACTCATGGCATTCACATAAGCGCCCCGTCCCCATCGCCAGCAGCCAGTAAAGAGTTCCGATACTAATGGTGCCAGTAGCATTCTGATTAAACGTCTGTCTTGCCTTTCCTCTGAGCCTCGAGCATCTGCCAGAACCTCTCGTCCCTTTTCCGCTTCATCAGTCTCACCAGACTGGTGATCAGTCTGCCCCTCCGAACTGTACACGCTCTCCCACAAGGCACTAACCACGTCTGCCTTATCAGGCATCAGTCTTCCACTAAGTTGTACAGAACCAGCCAGTCTGTCTGGCTGTTCCTTCTCCAACACACCGACGTGTCTCGGTGAAAAGATCCAGACAATACTCCTCACCCGTATCCTCCGCAGTGAAGCATGCCACTCTGCACAAAGCACGCCTGTCCTGACCCTCTTCAGCATACTTTCTGAGTCAAATCTAGTTAGTAAGTAAGTAGGCAACCATTAGTCCATGGGGGCCATTTAGTTGTGCTACTGGTTTTGAGAACAGCCTCTGCGGTGACTGTACCACCATGGTCCACAAAAAAACGTTGATACTCTATTGCTCTGTAGCTGGTTTTCTTTCAGACGTCTGCTCTCTGTAGCTTGCTGCGTTTGGCCTCTTTCAAACCGCGACAGTCTGTCTTTTACTGTCTGCCTCCAAAAGAGTCGGTATGCAGTTGATCTTTCCCACGTGTCTGTGCCAATATTGTTAGTTAGTTGGTCAGCGGATAGATCATTCTCATTGCACATCGAACCAGTCCGTCTATAAATACTCGGATCCCACGGTCGACTACATAAGTTCTGTGTTGATTTTTACAGTTTACTTTGCCTTCCTGCATAATGCTCTTGTCTGGCCTCACTGTTTTCTAAACGCTGTACTGGCAGTCTGTTCGTGGTTGCAGGTTCACAGCCACCACTTGGTTCTCGCAAACGTCTTACTTCTTGTACAGGGGTGTCGCCACGAAGAAAATACGGTGGGGGTAAAAGGGGCTCAGCCGCTTGTAATATATATATATATATATATATATATATATATATATATATATATATATATATATATATATATATATATATATAAATGTATATACTAAATGATAACCGAACCAATACTAAGAAACAAACATGCATCAGTAGAAACCAAAAGAACAATCTATGAGACAATCTTTTTGCCAATCCTGCGTTATCAACACCTGACCTGGACAATGACAGAAAATGGGAATAGCAAAATTACAACAACTGAAATGAGATTCCTACAAAGGGCTCTGAAGATAACAATAAGATATATGATCAGAAACGATGAAATCCTATGGAAAATTGGAGTAGCCACAGCTCTGGATTTCATTAGAAGACAACAGGTGAAATGGTTTGGCCATGTAACACGGATGTGAGCAGACAGTATACCACAGCAAGCCATGATGTACAGGTCAGGCGGGAAGCGAAGAAGAGGACGACCATGCAAGCTATGAACCAGGAGATTACAGTGTCTCTGGGAATCCCACTTTATCAGCTTTTTCCAGTAAATTGTACTCGACACCTCACGATACAAGGGGATCAAGATGAGATGAGATAACCTTCTCCGTGTTGGTTCCGGGGCCCCATTGTGGGGAGAACAAGAATAGACACACTACCTCCCCAAAAGGCATGTCGTAAGAGTCGACTAACTGGAGCTTCCTTCGAAGTCGGAGTGCATTTGCATGAGAGGCAGAGAACCAGCAATCTGCACACAAATAAGTCAGATCTGTAAAACAGATGCAGACACAAAACTCAGCTCCTGGAACAAAGCCAAAGTCCAGAAATGAACGAACAACCAGTTCTTTCCACCGGAGTTTATAGCCGGTGAACGCAAACAACAACGGATGAGATAACCGACATGGGAGGCTAAAACCACCATCACTAAGAAACACACAATGAAATAACAGCATGAACAGAAGCCACAATTATAACTTATGCTATCTAGGAGCCACAAATATAACTTATGCTATCTAGGAGAGGCTAGCTACCTAGGTAGCGGTTAAACTTGTCCAATTCAAATTGATAATGATGATGATGATAACCGAAGACCACAGTATGACATATACATCAATCAGCAAGTCCTTTACAGAACGTCGTTCTCTTCTCGGCAAGTCTGAAAGTATCCCCTTTCCTAACCATCTCTCCGGCCCCATGTGCTTTCAATGCCAGTGCATCTTCAATGTCTTGTATCCATCTTCGCGGCGGCGATCCCTGCCTCGCCTTCCACAAATTGCACCTTCCATCACTGTCTTTTCCAAGTCACCGTGACGCTTGATGTGGCCAAAATATGTACCGAGTACCTGTATTCAGCGCCTTGCGTTGGTTTCGACAGTGATATCAGAGAGTTGACCGTCCAGAAAGCAATGGCAAACTACTGGACGTAAATTTGCCTAGAGAAACCACACAACAGTCAGGGGCTGCTGGGGTTGGTTCTGCAACGTCCTGTAAAGGATACGCAACTAATCTAACTAACCTGTATTCGACACTGAGCCGGCTGAAACCAGTCCATTGCACAGGTCACGCAAGACTAGTCAAGATTTCAAAGCGCATTCGGCGCGCAAATTAAACATGGATAAGAGACCAAGGTATTGAGTTCAACAGGCCCTAGAAGTTTCCCAGACTTGTAAATCTTTTATAATTCAAGAACACGTTAACCTGAGGAACATTTTTATGACGTCATCTCATTGTTTTCAACCAGTAGGTGACAATACTAGATATACTCTATGTCGTCTCCCTAACGATGGTTAACTGCAGTGTACTGAAAGTTGTCTTTGAGAATATTTGGTGGTGAGGCCGCAAGTCACAATCTCTTCCACGGTGACACTCTCTTACTACTTCCCAAAGGCCAAGAGCATGGCATTTAGTAAAGGCCTATTGGTAAAAGCAGGGAATTGGGGACACATTATACTGCTAAAAGTTTTCTTGTTTGTTTTAGCCAAAAGCTAAAGTTACCACGCTAAGGATTTAACCATCCAAATGACGACAGCGCCTCAGTGCAGGAACAAGTGTACCAAAAACGCTTGACAAACTAGATAACCTCTAAGTGTCTCGATTTTTATATTGTCTAGAGATTAGTGTCCTTCTGTCTTTTTAATTCTTTCTGTGAGTGCAGACCGACACATGTTTATTTATTTATTATACATAGTGTTTTTACGACATCAAGTGTTCCATGCTTGTTTATTTTAAGGGCTAATGTAGAATAAGTCTACAAAACCACATTTCTGCCGCTTCCACATAATAAAATGCCTTTACCTAACCATTATTTCATCCAAATTGCATGCAGGTTAGACAGGTATTGATTTCCACCGGGCGGAAAGAAGACAAGCAGAAAATAAATAAATTATGCATTTGGCATTGTTCAAATGCAACTCGTTCCCATGGTAACTGCTACCTCCGCTAGTGTACAGTCCCGCTTCAGGTCGGTCTGTGCCAGGTTGTACATTCGCTAAACGTGACCTGCACATTCCGCCAAGCAGAATCAATTCTTTTTTTTTTTTAAATCCGCGGCGTAATCACTATTCCTTTTTTATTCCATGGGCTAATTACTGCAGGACCTGATTGCAAAGTAATGGTAGAGGCAGACATTGGCGCCGACACAAAGACAACAAGTGGAGAGGATAGTTCGGTGGGGCCAACCCACAATGTTTTAAGTGATTAATAATACTAGTGTATCTCTCTGTGTGCGTTCTGGGGGCGCATTGTAGGGGAAAACAAGAATTGACCCACAGCCTCCCCAACAAGCATGTTGTAAAAGTCGACTAACTGCTGGCTTCTTTTGAAGTGGGAGTGCATCTGAAAAGGCAAGGAACCAACAGTCTGCTTACAATTAAGTCAAATCCGTAAAACGGTCATGCACGCAACACTCAGGTTCTGGAGCATGGCTTAAATCCAGAGGTGGACGAAGAACCAGAATTGTCCGCCTGAGTGTACAGCTGGTGAACGCGAACAACAAGAAGAAGAACAGTGTATCGATGTCCCCCCCCCCCCCCCCCCCCCCAAAAAAAAAAAATTCTTTAAAAAATGAAAAAAAAAAATTTTCCTCTTCCTCCTAATCATCATCAATGACGCGGGCGATGTCCAGGTTCCCCATTCACCTGGTACTGGACCTGTCAGACACGCACACTTGCCAAATGAACTAGTTAACTCAGTAAGGTCCAGCCTTACAGGCCACAGCTCCAACCCAACAGTAACCGATGACTCCGAACACAGGTCTACCGCCAATGACTATACACTGTTTTCAGACACCGACTGAATGAGATGGATTGCATCACGAGATATGATTAACACAACAAATACAGTCTTTCTTCCTTCTGTCACACCCAAGACGCTGCTCGGAAGGACTTTTCCTGTCACTATATGTTCCGTGGCTGCTACAGACTATCAGTACCAGATCCAGTACCAAATCCACCTTTCGTGACTAACCTGACTCTCTCGGACAACTCCTATATCTTGGAGATACCGTCACTAGAGACCCTGTAGGCTGATGCACAATATCTTGTAAAAACCACCCAGACCTCCCGACTGCGGCCCTTCGCGTTACCTTGTGATATCCTGAATCTCACATCACAAACTCATCACGCTTGAACCTTGTTAATGCGGCAACACCCGCAGACAACACGAACACTTGATTCCGTCAGCCAGCGTGACACATAGGTGCAAAAGTCTAGTCTGGCAACACCCAGACTAGAATCTACATTCACACACGTCAGCTGAACTACCTGGTAACGTGCTGCAATGGCACATTTAAAAACAATATCAGTTCTCATAGACTTTTGACGGTGAGTCCTTTCTCACAAAAGTCATAGAGTCAACTGTTCCACCGACTTTGTGGAGTGAACTGCCTCTAATCACACACAGTTCACCATCTCCACGTAGAGTTCTCTCTAATGTCTAGTACTAAGGCCGTGGTTCATATTCACCCATGAACACTGCACCGGTGTCTCCGATTGCACGGCTGTACAGGTCCTTGAACCCGTGATCCCGGCGAACAGGTCTACGGTTCGATTTACTTATTTCCCCAATAAGTTAAAAATCGGAAACTTCAATTTACATAAATGTTGTATACACATAACTAATACTACCATGGGACATAATCCTTTTGAATTATTCGTTACGTCCTTCTTAGGACGTAATTTTTTGTTATTTGAAGCCCCACTCTGGCTTTTGCCAGGGGCCGCAATATAGGCAGGCCATAAAAATGGCCAATTGTCTGAACGCGGTTTCTGGGACCTCTCCACGGCGATCCTCATCCACATGGTGGCACTTTGTGTCATCGGGTGTTTATCGCTTGTGTGATGTCCTAGTGGGGTAGAAAGTCAGTCAGTCAGTCAGACATAATCCTTTTATATATTCATATATTGCCCCCAACAACCTCAGTTATCTAGTGACACACCGATTAGCGTAGACTGTCATGCTTCGCTCTTTCACACAATCATAAGAATTACAGATCAGGTCAGTGTTCTTGTTGCGTTCTTTCCATATGGCCAGTCCGTCAAGGTATTTATCCCGTTGTTTTATCCTGCCAGTTGTTATCAAGTTCTTGAATGCCTTTCTTCTTATAACAGATTAGGAATACTTGTTGACTAGTGCGTGCCGCTAATGAGTTCCTTAACAGTCGCAGGCAGCCGGCATCTTATGGCATGCTTGTTGGCAGAGCCGTCTTAACAGCATTATGGGCCCTTGGGCAAATCGGTGTGCCGGAGCCCCAACGATGAAATATGTATTTATGGCAAGTCACTTGACATACTTAGATTAGCAGGGGCCCCCCTGGGGGTGGGAGGCCCGGGCCAGTGTCTAGTGGGCCCACACCCTGCTTGTTGGAGGTTGGCAACGTTTTGTATTGAAACAACTTACTAATCTATTCCTACTGACTAGATCCCGGCAGCAATCATCGAGACTACGAACTGGACACGGCCGGATTGTCAAATGCTTCATTTGGGAAAGAAATCAGAGACAAGGAATTCGCACTGAAGAAGACTATCACTTTTATCAACCATGGGAGCTACGGAACAGTTCCTAGACGATTGCTTGATATACAGACAAGGTTAGTTTTTTTTTTCAAACCATGAACTACTCGTCCACATTTTACTGTTTGCTGCTTGGTAACCGTAGCGTGCCGCAATATAAATGTGCTAAGCAGATTCATTTGCGATAGGTTTCCCACTGACTGGCTGGTAGACGACTTCGTCGGCGGTCGGGACAGTATTTGGGTTTGGCTTTTTTGACTGCATCAACACTGTAGGGGTCCTTTTTAGAGCTACTTGGTAGAGAGCAATGCTAAGCTATTTTATAAGGATAAAAAACCTGGTCACAATTATAACCTAAAGCTTCCCCTTAGGGGATGCTTGTTGAAGGTCACAATTCTATTTTTTTAAGCAAAACAGGAAAAGAAGGAAGGAACAGGATTTCAGTGATTTGTAAACGTTTGATTCTCATCAACGAGATATGATATCGGGGAGAAAGGGGATGGGAGGGGGAATTATAAAAACTTATTTTCAAAGTTTTATTTGATGTCCTATATTTTATTCCCTGTTCACCGGAGATCTATTAGCTCTTGTACATTTATCACTTTGTGATTTTTCGTTAGTTAGTTGACAGTCGACCTTTGTGGCTTAGGAATTGCGAATGCGTTTCGTTATCTCCGAGTTATCCAGTTCGATTTCAGCTAAGATCGATTTGGCAGTAGATTTCGACGATTTGCGTTGATTTCGACAATGATGTCGACAGCCGACCGTTCAGATTAGTGTCAAGTTACTTAACGTACTATTGCCTAGCAAAATGCTGGGGTTGGTTCTGTAAAGGATTCGCAACTAACTTAGTTATCAAATTCTCCGAAAGAACTGTTTACCATCCGTCGTTCAGTAGAGCACAGAGCACGGCATGCATCTGTTTGTATGTGGTTATTGAAGACACTTTCACTTTTTTTTTTGTAAAGACCAGAGATCAAAATATCATCCCCACTTTCAGGGGCGCCAAAACATTGGAGCTTTGAGCCATCTCAAACATTTTAAGCACATTTTAGGCGGTGGAGTTCAGCCCTCTGTCCCCTTTCCGAAGAAAATATGTAATAAGTCTAAGCCCCCCCCCCCCCCCCCCACCCCCTTCCCCAACCATGTATAGAAGTTCTCTAAGTTTTGGCTTATACATATCATACTATTAGACACAGGCACGCGTGCTTATTATTGGCACACATCTGTGAACCATAGTATTTTTATCATCATAATTTTTTGTAATCACTAAAGCAAGGCTTGGTTTCCCCATCAATATGTTCCATATGTTGCTGTCTCTACCAACAAGGGACGTGTTGCAGGGCTTTCCTTTCCCACTCCATTCTCAGAAACCCTTGAAGTGTGCAAGATAGGTACTAGAACTTCACATCTAATGATATGCACAGTAGAAAGTATCAGATCACGAATACGCACCTCCAGAAAGGCAGAGAGTTGGCCAGGGATGGTTATGTTTTCTCTATGAGTTTTTTGTTGTTGTTGTGTACATCGTATGAGACTGGTCGTCGCATCAATACAGAGGTCACAGATGGGGAGAGTCACATGGATACTTTGTCCGGGTCATGCAGACGTGACTGGGAATGAGTAGGCAGATAGATCGGCTGGACCTACCCCACTCTGACCAGGTAACAAGTAAAATGGATCACATGGAAGACCCGTACCTAAAGAGACCGATGAAGCAGAGAGTGTCTGCGGGCTCTGGGCGCTACTACAGGCTCAGGGGAAAGACAAGACGAGCAGTTAACTATAGAATAGCGAGTACCACCAGTGTGAAGACTCCTCCATGGCTGCTGAGAAGGGAGACGGAACTAGTATGGGCTTGTCCTGAGCGCTGTAATGTCGAATCTTACCCATATGTGCCTATGTTGAATGTTGACCTGTGAATTAAGATTCGACATAATAGCACTCGGGACACCACCATAAGCGCTTCGTCTCCATCTTTAACAGCAAGCGAAAAGTTCCAGTTTCGATGGTGCCAGTAACTGTCTAGTTGTATATCAGTCTCGTTTTTCCCTTAAGTGTTGAGCTTCGACTAGATCCCCTGGTAACTTCCCGCAGCGCCATTCTCCTCACAACCGCACCTTCCCTATCTATTAGATTTTGCCATATAAAAATGTGTGTAGATCAATCGGCACTCCATAGGTTTTGTTGTCAAAATCATGCTGGCTGTCTTTACTTCCCATGACAAAAAGCTGGTACCAGTTTTAGGTTTGGTGACATGGAAACCAAAATTAATCCACCCCCCCCCCCATACACACTATTTGTAGTACACTTACTAACTTCCTCTTTCCCATCTTCTTCTTCCTTACTTCCTCTGTTACTGCTTCAAGTGTCGAGAAGGATGTAGATATGAGTTTCTGCACCTCGCTCTTCCGGCCGCCTCGACCACAGACACATCGTGCTTTTGTAGAGTCTCCCGGATGTTATCTTTCCATCTGGCACTTGGTCCACCCTGTGCTCTACTTCTTTTCCCTTTTTTGATGTATGGTATGGCATGCCAAAGCATTCTCTCTAAGTGGACAAACCATTTGATTTACTGTCTTTGTATGTAATTTAGAATTCTTTCTGGTCATTCATGCAACCATTCTCAGATATATCATTTCCATGGTTACGTTCTTTTAAATTTGCTGTGAGTGACCATATCTGGTACTCGTAGCATAAAGTGGGCTAGCCAATACTTAGTTCCCTTTACTGCATCTAGTGTTAATTTATTCATCTAATTTACTAACTTCGGGGAATGCTGTTCCCATATTATTTTTTAAATGCCTGTTTCAAATCTTCACACTCTCTTTGTATATTTAACCTCTACTTCTTCCTTTCTTATGGACATTACTTCTGCCTTTTCAGCGTTAATACTCATATTATTCTTCATTCATGAATTTGAGGTGTTGAAATTCCGTGCTGCATCCCATTTCCAATAAAATTAAAAAATATCACATTCATGTGTTTGCTCATTTCAGAATTTTTTCGTGTGTTTTAGGGGCCGCTTTAGCACAGTCGATAGGAGACTCACTTTCAAATCAAACAGAAACGCGCTGCAGCCCACCGCCGGTGTTCCTGGGGTTCACACAGCCTCTAGGTAATGGGTCATCATCATCATGTAGCAGGTCCTTTACAGAATGTCGCTCTCATCACAGTCTGCCTGAAAGAAACTCTGTCTCTCGCCAGTTCTCCTGCCTCATGCACTTTCACACTCAAGTAGTTACTTATATCCTGTGCCCATCTTCGTGTTGGTCGGCCCCTGCCCCTCCTTCCCGGTACCAAACCTTCTGCTATAATTGTTTCCAGTCCGTCGAGTTAATACTCTGGGGTATATGGAGGAAAATCACTGTAGCTACGGAGTTGCGTGCGGACGGGGACACAGGCGGACAGTTTCTTATAATGTTTTTAGATATTTTTGTTATAAGCTGTATGTACTGGTGGCAGAGCACTTATGGTTTTTAAACGTGTGCAGTGACTCTGGTTCACATCTCGTGACTTTACCTTTACCTTTGGTGTATTTTAATTGTCTGTGATTATCAGCTTATTCAAAATGAGTATATCTAATATTTCCAATTACTGCGCACAGGTATTTGTGGGAGAGGGAAGAACAACCGGATTTATGGTTCCGCTTCCATGCTAAACATTACGTGGAACGATCCACACAAGCAGTGGCTGACTTCATTGGAGCCGATGTTAGCAATGTGCTGCTGCTCAGTAATACAACCTCAGGTACGGAGTCGCTCAGTCATCATCGTTTGTATTCAAGGGTTAATTCTTGGATCTTTTTTTTTTTTGTGGAAGCAAAGAATAGACCCACTGCTCTCTTCACCCAATAAATATACTGTAATATGCAACTGATTATGGTTTCGCTCAAAAAGAAGGTGTTGGTCCGAAAGGCGCAGTTGATGAGCGTGGTTGTAAACCTAACAGAGCGCGCAAGCGGCCTCTTAAGGGAGAATGCAGAATAAGAAGAAGAAAAAGAAGAAGAGGAGGAGGAGGAAGATGGGGAGAAGAAGAAGATACTGTTGGATAGTATGTTTAGGATTTTTTTGGGGGGAAAAAAGGGGGGGGGGGTGGGACACACTGGCATCAACAAGTGGCATCTTAGGTCACCGGATGTCAAACCCAGTAGTGAATGAAAAATGGGGGAAATAATAAACCAACTGTCCCCTAATAAACATGTCGTAAGAGGCGACTAATTAGAAATACGCTGAAATAGGATGTTCTGTGTCAAAAGGCGGGAAAATCAGAGCCTAATTGTAAACCGTAACACAGCGCGCCAACTGCCCTGTCTCTCCACATTTCTTACACATCTCATCCTCTACACATTAACTCCTTCGATCCCAAGAAACTCTTATTGTGTGGGTGACTCTGTCTCTCCATTTCCATCCATCGCATATTGTGTTCTCTTATAACATTTAGTCAGAAGATACTGAAGAAATCTGGCTTCCCCACTTTTAATTATCATTGTATATATTGCCATTTTGGAAATAATGTATTAATGACTTTTCATCGTGGTTATTTCTTCGCCTTTTCGTCTGCTGTGAAACCCCCTGTACCGAAAGAGTTAAATATTTTAACTCTCTCTACTCGCAGCACTGAATATTATTGTCAGATCCTACCCGTTCAAAGCTGGCGACGCCATCTTGGATACAAATCTGTCGTACGGAGCAATCAAGAACATGTGTTACGACTTCACTACAAGAATACGACCAGGTATCTCTACATGTGCTGATTTAAATTCCAAAGTCACAGATTAAATGTTCTCATTTCCTAGTTATATTTTAAATGTTCCAATTTCATAATCACATATTAAATGTTACCATTTCATAGCCACAGATTAAATGTTCTTATCTCCTAGTCACATACTGAATGTTCAAATTTCATAATCACATATTAAATGTTACCATTTCATAGTCACAGATGAAATGTTCTCCTTTCCTAGTTGCATATTAAATGTTTCTTGTTCCTAGTCACAGATTAAATGTTTAACTTTCATAGTCACATATTAAGTGTTCATATTTTATAGTCACACATTAAATGTTACCATTTCATAGTCACATTTTAATGTTCCCATTTCCTTGTCACATATTATATTATAATTTCCCAGTGACACATTAAACGTTCCCATTTCCTAGTCACAGATAAAATGTTCCGATTTCACAATCACAGATTAACTATTCATATTTCATAATCACATATTCCCCGTGTGGGTTCCGGGGCCCCATCGTGGGGAAACAAGAATAGACCCACTGCCTACCCAAAATCATGTCGTAAGAGTAGACTAATTGGGGAGCTTCCTTTGAAGTCGGAGTGCATCTGCCTGAGAGGCAAGGAACCAACAGTCTGCATTCAAGTGAATGAGATCTGTAAAACTGATGCACACGCAACACTCAGGTTCTGGAGCAGGACTGCAGTTCAGAAGTGGACGAACAACCAGAACTTTCACCAGAGTGTACAGCTGGTGAACGCGAAGAAGAAGAAGATAATCACATATTTGCTAGTCCGTGTCGACCCAGCTGAAATTTGGTGCCAGGAAAGGTCGTTAGAAGTAGTGGCGGCCGGCGTGATAAAGTCCACATGACATTTTCTTTGCATGCGTATAGTCCTTTAGATGTCAGTGATAGGGAGAATTAACGTTTACTTTTAATCAATCAGGTGCCGTCTCCACAATGAAGGTTGGCTGCAATGGATCTCCAACAAGCCCTGTCTCTTGCCCTTGATGTACACTCACACATACAGCTGTTCGTCCATCTCTTGATGTTATCCTCCCACTTGTAACGCTGTTTGCCTCTTGCTCGCCTTCCTTGAAACTTTCCCTCTAGGATGATCTTTACAATATTGTTATGTCTTTTAATGTGACCAAAATATTTCACTTGTCTCTTTTTTATTTCACCTAGCAACTCTCTTTTCATTCCCAATTTCCTCAGTACCTCTGTATTTGATAGCTTTCGTTTCCATGAAATACGACCTAATCTTCTGTATATCCACATCTCCAAAGAATTGATACGATTTTCCAGTTGTTTGTTCATTGTCCATGTCTCTGTGCTATACAGTAAGCGACAAAAGCTGGAGGAGGTCGTGGTATGAATAGACTAAGGAGTCAACGATAAACTTTCCGTGTGGATTTCGGATCCCATTTTTGGTAAATAAGAATAGAGTCCATGACCCCAACAAGCATGTCCTAAAAAAAGGGGGTGGGGGTGGCAGGGAGTTCGAAATAGAGGTACATCAGCCTGAGAGAAGAGAAACCCACAGTCTTCATACAACTAAACCAAATATGCAAAAAAGATATGCATACAAAACTCAAGTCCTAGAACAAGAACAAAGTCTAGAAGTGGACGAACAACCAGAACTTTCCTCTGCAATTTACAGCCGGTGAGTTCTAAGACGAAAGAACAGAAGAATACATTAATTACCAAATTCAATACGCTGAAAAAAAATACATAATAAATTAGATTACAGAGTTCCCTGTAGTCTAGAAATGGAAAAGACGATTAAATTGTCTTAGGGGTATACAATGATTTGATTAATTTGATTTGATTCAAGAACCGACATCACAGCACTCGGGGCATTCCCATAAGCGCTCCGTCACCGTCTTCAGCAGCCAGCGAAGAGTTCCGATACTTATGGTGCCAGTAGCTTTCTGATTAAACGTCCGTCTTGCCTTTCCTCCGAGCCTTGAGCTTCTGCCAGAACCTCTCGTCACCCCCAACTGCATCAATCTCACCAGACTGTGGTGATCCATCTGCTCCTCCGCTCTCCCACAAGGCACTAACCACGTTTGCCCTATCATGTAGCAGTATTCCACCAAGTTGTGCAGAGTCAGCCAGTCTGTCCGCCTGTTCATTTCCCAACACACCGGCGTGACCCGGTGAAAAAATCCAGATAATACTCCTCACTCGTGTCCTCCGCAGCGAAGCATGCCACTCTGCACGAAGCATACCTGTTCTGATCTTCACCAGCATGCTTTCTGAGTCAGTTACAATTACAATGTGTGTGTGTGTGTGTGTGTGTGTGTGTCGTGTTCTCTAGAGAGCGAAGAGCTGCAGTTTAGGGGTAAACAAGAAAGTTAGGACCATAAACAGGGAAGTGAAGTACTGCTATTCCTAACGTTAGAGTGAATAAAGGGAATGAGTAAAGAAGTATTGCATGTCTATGTTGTATATACGCGAAGAAGTGTTGTATCGCTATACTGAAGTGTGCTTCCATATCTTCTTTACACTGATGACTAACAAAACCATTTCTCTGGTGTAGATGTGAAACGTGTGCAGCTGCAGGTGAATTTTCCAATAGATGGCGAGGAATCTATCGTTGAGCAATATGAGGACATCTTGAAGAACAATCCAGCAATCAAAATGGTGATTCTTGGTAAGTGATTGCATTATGGAGTATTATTTCAAATTATATGAATTCATTCTCGGTATACTTGTACTTCTTCAACGCATAATGGAATCAAAACCATGTTTCCCCATTTGGAACAAAGAAGACACGAACAATAAACTGCACAAAGAATTGCCATGTATATTTCGTTGTATATCTCCGTACAGTGACGCAAACAAAGGAATCTATCCTGGGTTCGGGCGCCTATGGTATGCGTCTTTTCCTTGCCTCCCTGAAGGGGAAGTCCATGCAAAAGATTGAACGCTGGAAAAACATTCCTAAAGAAATGACGAGAAACTTGCACACCTCAATAGAAGTAGCGCATAAATGATCATTGAAAAACAAATGGTAACCCTGACAAGATGTTAAACTAGTTTTCATAATCACGAAAAACATAATAAACTTTTAATAAAAAGCCCTCATCAGCACATAACACAAATGGAGAACGATGCAGTCACAAACAAGAATAAATAAAATCATTTACCGCTTTACAGTCGAGCCTATGATAGAATCACAGTCCGCGCTGCCAGTCTTTTCAATCGATAGTGTTTTATTGTGATATGGGAAGCATGGGGCTCACAGCCCATGGCGATGGCGAGGGTGACTAGCAAGACCCGCCCGAGGTAAGAGAAGTCAATAATTAGAGAATGTGATTTCAGAACCGTTGTTGACATCACATGTAGTTAGTGTGTTTCTTCACAGACGTTCGGTTCTCAGGATCTCTGCAGTCTTTGTTTTCCTCTGTTCCCATTATCTTCCTGCTCCGCTCTCTCCCCTCTTTCTCTCTTCACGCAACACTGTCCATAACGTTTTGCTCCCACGAATCTGTCCCAGTATCTGTATCATTCATGTCTCACTTTATTCATAGTCAAGACCGACCTCGATATATATTCTACACATCTTCTTCTTCTTCTTCTTCTTCGCGTTCACCAGCTGTACACTCTGGCGGAAAGTTCTGGTTCCTCGTCCACTACTGAACTGCAGTCCTGCTCCAGAACCTGAGTGTTGCATGTGCATCGGTTTTACAGATCTCATTCTCTTGAATACAGATTGTTGGTTTCTTGCCTCTCCGGCAGACGCACTCCGACTTCAAAGGAAGCTCCCCAATTAGTCGACTCTTACGACATGTTTTTGGGGAGGCAGTGGGTCTATTCTTGTTTCCCCCACAATGGGGCCCCGGAACCCACACGGGGGATTCTACACATCTGTAATTCATCATAGAGGATGCCTTCAAGTGTCGTAATAAGTGATCCTTAAATATGTTCCCAAAACTCGAACAGAATTGGAATGAGAGAAGAGACAAACATACACACCCAAACACACACTTACACACAGACACACACATGCGCGCGCGCATACACACACCGATAATTCAACAACGTTTATGTCAATGTTCTCACAGATCACATAACCAGCCCGACCTCCATCATCATGCCAGTGAGGCAGATCGTTGACGTCTGCCACAAACATGGCGCCCTGGTGGTCATAGATGGAGCACACGCCGTTGGTCAGCTGCCTCTAAATGTTCCAGAGATTGGAGCAGACATTTACACGTGTTCGTACTTCTTTCAGTTACACAGGTTTTTGATATGAACATACTACACATACGCATACACATACAGAGATATTTATGTGCATTACATGTATGTATGTATAAAACATAATAAACACATAACACACACACACACACACACACACACACACACACATGTATATTTAAAGACATGTTTTTGGCATTTGTGCTTTGAATTGTTTCTTCACATTCATTCAAGAAATTTTGAATATTTGATCCCAGTATGCTTGACATAACAAAAATGCAATTGCTGTGTGAAAGATGAGTGTATAAAAGGGCTGACTGTTAGACAGGCTTGAGTGCCCGATTTGTGACCCGTTGAAAAAAAAGATCATTCTTTCGTTCTTTCCTCCTCTCTCACTCTCTCACTCTGTAGAGAGAGAGAGAGAGAGAGAGAGAGAGAGAGAGAGAGAGAGAGAGAGAGAGAGAGCGAAGGAGGGAGAGAGAGAGACTAGTCACATGACGAGAGAGACTAATCACGTGACGAAAGAGTCTAATCACCTGACGTAAGAGACTAGTTACCTGACGAGAGAGACTGGTCACCTGACATGAGAGACTAGTCAGCATACGAGACTGACTGGTCATCTGACAAGAGAGACTAGTCACCTGATGAGCGAGAGAGACTAGTCACCTGACAAGAGAGACTAGTCATCAGACTAGAGAGACAGGTCATCAGACGATAGAGACTATTCATCTGACGAGTGGGACTAATCTGACCAGAGAGACTAGTCACCTGATGAGAGAGACTAGTCACCTGATGAGAGAGACTAGTCATCTGACGAGAGAGACTAGTCATCTGACGAGAGAGACTAGTCACCTTTCGAGAGAGACTAGTCATCTGACGAGAGAGTTTAGTCATCTGACGAGAGAGACAAGTCATCTGACGAGAGAGACTAGTCACCTGACGAGAGAGACTAGTCACCTGACGAGAGAGACTAGTCACCTGACGAGAGAGACCGGTCACCCGACGAGAGAGACTAGTCACCTGACGAGAGAGACCGGTCACCTGACGAGAGAGACTAGTCACCTGACGAGAGAGACTAGTCACCTGACGAGAGAGACCGGTCACCTGACGAGAGAGACTAGTCACCTGACGAGAGAGACCGGTCACCTGACGAGAGAGACTAGTCACCTGACGAGAGAGACCGGTCACCTGACGAGAGAGACTAGTCACCTGACGAGAGAGACTAGTCGCCTGACGAGAGAGGCTTGGAGTTTACAGCCCGGCAAGACTAAAAAGAAGTACGGTAACCAGGTTTGCATTACAGCAACAGTTCCAAGCCTTTTTCGAGTGGCATCCCCGTTTTTAAACAGACGAAGTGACCCGCGACCTCAAACAATATAAATAGGCTTTTAAACTGGGTAGATAAAAACACAACGACACTACTTAAAATACATTTTTCTTAGTGCAGGGTGCGATGACGTTTCCCCCTGTTTTTTTTAAAATTTTTGAAACAAATAACGAACCCAGGCCCAGCTCCGCCTACCTACACACTAGGTGACCTTTCGTTGATGCTTGGTCAGGCTGGTAACGGTAGAGGAGTGTAGAATGCACTATGTCGTGGGACCTAGGTTCAGTGTGTGGAGTAGGGGGGTTGGGGTTAGGGCCAGTTGTACATGTTATGGGTCGTTAAAATAGAACACGCGTGGTCGCCAGTAAGACAGTCAGGTCACAGAGTCATGACCCGACTTAGTCCTGCGCCTGAATGCGTCACCGGTTCCAATTTTAATAGCTCACCACATATTCGGAGACTCCACAGAAAACCATTTGCGACCCCACACTGGGTCGTGACCCATGTGTTGGGAACCTGTGCATTACAGTATGATTTAATTCTGAAATGACTCATCTTTCTTCTGAATCTCTAGCAAACATGCACAAATGGCTCTACACGCCTCGGGGATCATCTTTCCTGTGGTTTGACAGCAAGCACGAAAGCTGGATCAATCCATCCAACACTTCTTGGCAGCTGGGCCTATCTCTGGACAAGCAGTTCTTCGATCAAGGAACATGTGAACATATACCTTTTATCTGTGCCAGACATGCCTTGGAGTTCTACACTGCCATTGGTGGACTGGTAAGTGGCAGGACACTCACTGCTTCAGCGTACGCTTTTGTTGTTCATTTCAGAAGTTTTCTTCTTCTTCACTTCCTCTTTTACCATTTTGGGAGGTGCTATGTTAATATCCTACCCCAAACAGGGGAAATCCACAGGTCACGGGCCAGTCTAATATTTCAGGGGGTGGTAAATAGGCTGCATGCAGTCGTGGGACCTAGGCTGCATCGGTTCGTGGGACCTAGGCTGCACTCTCTCGTAGGACGTAGATGGGTTGAGGTTAGGACCATTTATAGTTGTTTTGGGGTCGTTAAACGCATCAGAAAGCCAGAAAACCCAGTCTTAACACCCTTTTACAATTTTGGACTGTCCTGGGACGTCATCTTGGGGTAAGATTTTAATAAAGAACCATTTTAGGTGTCGATGGAGATGAAAGGTTCTGCTTGTTGCTCCTATAGCCGCTTCGACCAAAGACACATCTCGCTTTTGTGGTAACTACGTTTATTCACTGTCCATATTTCTTAACTATATTATATGTCCGAATGTCCGATACGCGCAGAGGGAGAAGTCCGAGGTCTGGGAGTCATGACCCAGGCCGGCCTGCCCCTAGAGATTGTCCAGCTAGGAGGATAACGGGTGGAAACAATTATTAAAAGGGAACCCATCTACTGATGATGATCGGTAGACGCCTGCTGTACATGCTACTGCTGTGTTCTCCTTATTATAAGTGGGAAAAACCTAACAAGGTTTAAAGTATGACATGATTTTGATTCTGTATTGACTCTCACGATGTAAAGCATTTATTATTACTGCAACAGACCAAACTAGGTGTGAAGTATGACATGATTTCGTTTCTGTATTGACCCTCACGATGTAAAGCATTTATTATTACTGCAACAGCCCAAACTAGATTTGAAGTATGACATGATTTTGATTCTGTATTGACCCTCACGATGTAAAGCATTTATTATTACTACAACAGACCAAACTAGATTTGAAGTATGACATGATTTTGATTCTGTATTGACCCTCACGATGTAAAGCATTTATTATTACTGCAACAGACCAAACTAGATTTGAAGTATGACATGATTTCGTTTCTGTATTGACCCTCACGATGTAAAGCATTTATTATTACTGCAACAGACAAAAACTAAGTCTGAATTTTGACATGATTTCGTTTCTGTATTGACCCTCACTATGTAAAGCATTTATTATTATTGCAACAGACCAAACTAGGTGTGAAGTATGATATGATTTCGTTTCTGTATTGACCCTCACGATGTAAAGCAGCACACACATACCGATATATTCATTATTCTCGGTGACACAGGAGAAGATCGTTGCCTATACCTCCGAGCTTGCGGAGAAAGCCAAGGAGATCTTTGTGACGGAACTCGGTCTGGAGACTTTACAGATCCCGGAGTCCTTGGAGGCTCCAAATATGAAGTTGATCAAGCTTCCTGCATTTCCAAAGTTTCCACGTTCCCTGGTAAATATAGGAGCCGTGTCGTATGGTACAAGTGCCTTGGTAATTATTAGATCTATACAGGGGCGTCGGAATTTGGCGACTGTGGGCCCCCGAAGATTTCCCATTCGAATCCAGACTGGGCAGATTTCATGTGTCCGTAATGACGTCGGGTCGCAAGTTGACCCAACCTAAAACTGGTAGCAGGTAATCCTCGTCCAATTCTAGACTCTAGTCTTGTTCCATAACTTAAGTTTTGCGTGCACATTCACTATACATGTCTGACTTATTTGTATGTACACTTTTGATTCCTTGCCTCTCAGGCAGATGCATTGCTGAAAACAGTAATTTTATGGCATCAGGATTTAACAAATAAGCTGTTATCCACGTTTTTTTTTGTTTCTGTGTTTGGTAAGCTGTCAGGTGGGCCGTGAAAACAATTTTCTATGTTTTGGTGGACCACGAATCAATGAACCCATGTTTTAATGGACCGCGAAACAATTGCTCATGTTTTTGTGGACAGCGAAACAATATTCCCTGCTTTGGTGGACAGCGAAACAATATTCTATGCTTTGGTGGACAGCGAAACAATATCCCATGTTTCGGTGAACCACGAAACAATATCCCATGTTTTGGTGGGCCGCGGGTATAAAAGGGTTGAGCAGTGCTAAACGGACGATTTTTTAAAAATAGAAATGTAAATCTAGCATGATATGCTCGATACACCAATAGCTTGAAAGTCTCTGTAATTTTTACCTAAATTGAACAGAGAAGATCATTTCCTTGTCTTGTCTGTCGTTACATTTCTGTCAAAGAAGTTTACAAACCTAGTAATGTGCATTTCGGTTCTATACCAATAATTCACCCCAAATTCGGGAAATCCACAGGTCATGGGACAGTCTAATATTTCAGAGGGTGGTAGATGAAGCCTATGGTTAGTAATTTGGCATTTCATTTACTGTGCAGTTTTGATGCACCAATGCGGTTGAAATTGTGCTGTCATTTGGTGTGAATTTTTACCTGTGTTGGTGCAATCGGGAGATGCATTTCCTTGGGTTTTCTAGAATCTGTTGTTTGTTTTTGGCTGGGGATGAAGACCCAGTTTTTACAGTGACGTAATTTCTTCAACAATCTCTGGTCATGCGCTTAATCAACTGCAGGCCATTAACTAGGATGTCCTCTCAATGTCTCTTATGTTTCCCCAAAGATCTACTGGGCTTAGCCACATGTTGATTCGCAGCCCCGCCAGGAGATGACAGTCGTAATGTGAATTTGAAAATCAAGAGAAAGCCACCATATTATTTTATTTGCGTGAAACATGCTACCTAATAGTTTGACACCCTAAGGTTACAAAATCTCAATCTAGATGCAAACCAACAGGTCAAACCCGAAATTCTTTGTTCAACCTGCAAAGGCGTTATAATTGGGGCAACAAAAGCAGCCACACTAGCCCAGAGTAACCTGCCTTCCATGCTGGCAAGGTGGTCACATTATTATCTTCAGTACAAGTTTTAGCAGTTGGCAATCATTTGTGCACTACACGGTGTAGAAACGAGACACATTGAGCAACTTTTTAACAATCCTTGTAGTAAAACTTATGGCTTGACCAGTAAGTGATAGGCCAAACTATTTCCTCTGTCTGCAGGAACGTACGTGGGGTCTACAGAACGCCCTCTTTGCCGAGAATAACATCTTTGGAATCGTATTCCTGTTTTCTGGGTCGTTTTACGTTCGGCTTTCCTTTCAAGTGTACAATGACGTTGACGACCTTCGGACGGTGGCCAAAGTTATGAGAGATTTCATTGACAAGAATATATGAATGATCTTGTGTTGTGTTTATTATAAAATTGTCCAGATATTTTATTTTTAAATAAGATACTAATTGTTAGCACTTGGGTTGCGGTTTGGGGGTGGGGGGGGGGGGGGGGGCGCTGATTCTGCAAGATTAACGCGCCAGGATCTCTGTTAAAGGTGAATACCTCTATTTCTGCCTTATGCCTTAAAAGAGGGTTTTTGTTTGTGGTTTACAGCTAGGCTGTGATATATGGGGGTTTTCAGCTGAACACCTCCGACGTCAGCAGACCTTTAATTAGTCATCTTTCACAATATATGTTTGTTAAAGGGTGTTGGATCTATGTACCTCGCCTGCCGCCCCCCCCCCTCCAAGGGTGCCAATTAATTACACGGGGAGAGAAGATCGCAGCTTGACGTCTTCTTCTTCTTCTTCTTTTTCTTCTGCGTTCGACATCAGTCATGCTAGACATTGAGTCCCGTCTGGGTCACAAATAGGATTGTGCGTTTAAGGTCGCCCCCCGTCCCCCATAGTTTCTCTTTCAATGTGGCTCCCTTGGGCCAGATCCACAGTCTTTGCTTGGAGAGGTTAGGGCAGTACTGTAGTATGTGCCCAGGGGTCTGACTTTATGCTCCACAATCATAGGCAGCAGATTCTTTTATGCCTATCCTGTACAGGTGTGCTCGAAGACCACAGTGTCCAGTCCGAAGTCTAAAAATAGTTTTTTGTTCTTTCCTGTTGAGTTTGTTTATGCTGTCACTCTCTGGTCTGTAATCTCCATTCTGCCTTCTCCACTCCCGCTTGAAAGACTGCTTTAGCGCTGTTTTGGTTTCCTTGTAGCTGTGTGGTGGATGAGGTTGTGGAAGATTACTCCCAGCTTTTGCCAACTCATCTGCTCTCTCATTTCCTTGAATACCACAGTGGGCTGGTATCCACTTCAAGACCAGTTCTGCTTCCTTGGAGAGTAAGCCAATGTTGGTCCTTAGATCTGCAATTAGTTTGTCTTGTTTTTTGCTGGATAGTGCTTGGAGAACAGACAATGAGTCACTAAGTATAACAATTTGGTGCCCTCTGTGTTCTTGAGTGATGAGATGTTGGACTGCAGAGAGGAGGGCAGTTGCCTCAGCTCTGAAGTTAGTGCAGATGTCACCTGCTTGTAGAGAGAGAGAGAGAGTTTCTGCTCTACTGCTAGGGGGTTTAATGTAAATTCCACAACCCCCCTTTCTGACTGCATCTGTAGCAGAGCCGTCGGTGAAAACCCGAGTCCAAGTGGTGTTTGGATACTTCTCATCAAGCATAGCAAGAGCCAGGGTTCTCTGTTGTGTCTCCGTCTGGGCATCTTTTGAAGTGATCCTTGGTACCGTTATGATTACATTTGCCTTCTCTGGCTTGCTTGTCCATGGTTCTGGCCTAAGTTTTTCGCACAGTGCTACATCTCTTTCAAGCAGATCTCGATGCTGTCTGTACAGTTCTCTAGCAAGGTGGTTGGGGCTCTGACGCTTCAGTCTGTTTTTTTTTTGTTCTCTCTTGAAATTTAAAATGCAGTGGATGACTTTCAAGTCTTTTAAATTTCTCATACTGTAAAAGAGTTTTGTATTGCCTTCTGAGTTCGAATGGTTCAGTATCTGCTATCCTCTCTATCTCTCTGATGAGGGTGGTTTTCATGGCTCCGAGAACAATCCTTAATCCCATATTCTGAACCTTGTCCAGTTTTCCCATTGTTGTCTTGGCTGCTGCCGCCAATGCAGTGGAGGCATATTCCATGACTCGCCTGACTGCTCCAGTAAATACTTGTTTTAGTATTCTGGAGTTAGCGCCCCATGTGGTACCCGCTAATTTTTTCATAACTGCAAGCTTCTTGAATGCTTTTCCCTGTACTGCTTCTACATGTGACCTCCAAGTTAGTCGCGAATCAAGTGTAACGCCCAGAAAGGTAGGAGTGTCAGTCTGTGGGATGAGCTAGTTTTTTAATCCAAATTTTGATTTTTTCTTTTTCGGGGAGAGAGAGAGAAAAGTGATGCTGTGCTTTTTGAATTATTTAGCCATAGACCCCACTTTTCGGTTCAGGCTTCTACATTTTCCACATTTTATGAGAGTCGAGAATCATCTTTGCTTCTGTTGTGAACTGGGTGCTGTGTGCAGTGCAGTTCATGTATAAGCTGTGGAATTATGTATGCAGGGAACTATGTTTTGTAACAAGGAGGCTGGGAGCCGCCGTGGTGTAGCGGCTAGTTGCTCGCCTGCTGATCCGAAGGTCTTAGGTTTAGGTCTCAACTCAACTCAGGTGAGGTGTGTCAACGAGCCTAGTACTAATGGTAGGCATGATAAGTAGCGGTGGTGAAGTCATGGTAACAGCAATAGCAAATGTAGAAAAAGAAAACATGAGAAGGACGAAGAAGAAGAAGAAGAAGAGTATTTAGTGGTAGTGGTGCTGATGGTGGCGTGGTGATGATGGTGGTGGTAGTAGCAGTTCTTGTTCTAGCAGCAGAACAGTATATAATGTAAAGATTAAAGCCGAGAGAATCGACTCCATTGCGATGGGTTTTCATCCCATGTGACTCGGTCTTCCTCTCCATAACGGGTAGCCGCCTGCCGAGAGTGTCGAAACAAGCACGAACATCGTAGCTCCCGCGACGACCCCAATAAGTCTCTTTAATAAACTGCACCCGTAAACCGGACTACGCCAGTCGTGAAACGAACGGACGACCTTCAGAGCGCGAGGCAAACGGCTTGACCATTTTGTTACGGAACCCCCCCCCCCCCCAAAAAAAAAAAGCGGATGAGGAGACAACAGTTGCAGAAGAAAGAGGAACATAAAGAGACAGAGAGTTGAAAAAAAAAAAAGGAAGAAGCAGAAAAGGAAATAAGAAGAAAATTAAAAACGAAATGAAGAACACTCAGACAATTGCTGCACTTTTTTTAAAACAAATTTGTTATTTGTTGAAACCTCATCAGTTTTAATCACTGAAATTCTAATCTTGATACAAATTTAGAGATTCATTTAAATAAATTCCCTGGAAAAACTAACTGTTGACACAACAAGCAGTTTTTGTTTTGTTGCTGTCTTCGCTGTTTTTAACTTTTCACTATCAACTGTCCATTCTTTAAATTCCTAAAGGTAAAGTCGGGAGATGTGAACCAGCGTCATTGCACACGGTTATAAACCATAAGTGCTCTGCCACCAGTCACCAGTAGGGACAGGTATAGATCCAGTTTCGTCCTTTTAAGGATGACATTTTTTGTTATTTGAAGCCCCACCCTGGCTTTTGTCAGGGGCTGCAATATAGGCAGGCCATAAATATGGCCAATTGTCTGAACGCGGTTTCTGGGACCTGTCCACGGCGATCCTCATCCACATGGTGGCACTTTGTGTCATCGGGTGTTTTTTTTTTGCTTGTGTGATGACCAGGTGGGGTAGAAAGTCAGTCAGTCAGGGACAGCTAAAAAGAATTGTCCGCCTGTGTCGCCGTCCGCACTTAACTCTGTAGATACAGCGTCGTTATTTATCCGAGTGTCACTCTGGTTACCCATTTCCTAGAGGCTGGGTGAACCCCGGGAACCGCCTGGTTTCGAACATCGACAGTGAGCTGCAGCGAGTCGTAGCTGGATTTGAAAGCGAGCGTCTTATCGACTGCGCTAACGTAGCCCCCGAATTAAATTCCTCACGTCCTTTATGATTTTATAATTTACAAAAAAAAAAAATTGCGAATTCACAGTAATTACCAGGAATCATTTACCTTAAACAACAATCGTAGAGACCGGTTTGGAAGTCACTTAACATGTGCAGCAATAGACAACACCTTCCCAATACTGAAGAAAAAAAAAAAAAAACACCACAACAACAACACAGACACAGCACACTTCGTGGTCTTGAACTTGCTGTTTACTTTCCACACCTTCTCCAAAATTAGAGAGCTGGGCAACTTCCACAGAATCAAGTTTTAATAATTATAATATGTAACGTGCACTATTTTTTCGGCTTTTACTAATTGTCCGGAATTTCTCTTAACACTTGTTTGATGTCTACCGCTCTACCCTGCAGTCTGAAAGAGAGAGAGAGAGAGAGAGAGAGAGAGAGAGAGAGAGAGAGAGAGAGAGAGAGAGAGAGACCCAGCCAAATAGCGGTATTATCCTTTGAATAAATTACTATTTCCCGCTCTTCCGTTTATAAAAGATAGTGTCAAAAACCACAAAGCGAATAATAATTATAGTCACCGAAAATGTCCTACTTTTAACTAGGTCATTACAGCGAACTTTGACCTCGTTAACCCTCCACGTTATGAGAAATAACTATAACCATAACGATTCTACTGCTTTAGTTCTTCTAGTGCAGTTTGCTTGACATTTCCTAGACACGTTTGTAGGTCAGTTAATGGGGTTTCTTATAACCGACATCCAATAGACTGCTGTTTCTTAATGACATGTGGAAATGTCTTTATTTTGTAGAAGAATAAGTGATCTTTCATTTGTAAAGAAGTAAGTAGAAGAAAGAACATTTAAAATCTTTGTTTTGTATACTGTACGAATAGGCTTAATTAATAGGTAATATTTGATTTGTAGAAACAAGTGTCTAACTTGTACATAAATGTGACTATGTGTATTCTGTAATGTACACATTCTTCTTCTGCCTTTCTATCCCCCAATGGAGCATAGGCCCTCAACCAACTCACGCCAAGTCGTTCTATCCTTCGCCATTACATGGAGCTCTCCCCATGTCCTCCCAATCTTTCTAACCTCATTCTCCAGCTCTCTTCTCCATGTGTTTTTTGGCCTTCCTTTATTCCTGTGCCCCTGTGGGTTAATGTACACATACTCATGAGTAATCTCTAATAATTAGACTAATTTGTAAACTGTAACAATAAGCTCTAAACCTATCTCTTTACAGAAGTTTCCCTATATAACTGCAAACGGCACCAGGCAGTGGTATGGCCGTCACAGGTGCCCAGTTATAGCTTCAGAGATTGAACGGGAGTAAAAACATATTGCGACATTAATCTGTAGAAGATTAGGCAATCATTAATTTGGTAGTAGAATAATTGATGTTCCATTTGTAGAATAATAATAATTGAATCTTCAGTGTGCAGAATAATAAGTAATCTTATATTATGGAATAATTATAATTGAATCTTCAGTGTGTAGAAGAATAAGTAATCTTATATTATGGAATAATTATAATTGAATCTTCAGTGTGTAGAAGAATAAGTAATCTTATATTATGGAATAATTATAATTGAATCTTCAGTGTGTAGAAGAATAAGTAATCTTATATTATGGAATAATTATAATTGAATCTTCAGTGTGTAGAAGAATAAGTATTCATTAATTTGTGGAATAATAATAATTGAATTTTCACTGTGTAGAAGAATAAGTAATCTTATATTATAAAATAATAATAATTGAATCTTCAGTATATAGAAGAACAAGTAATCTTATATTATAGAATAATAATAATTGAATCTTAGTATATAGAAGAAAAAGTAATTTATAATATAGAATAATAATAATTGAATCTTCAGTATTTAGAAGAAAAAGTAATCTTATATTATAGAATAATAATAATAAAATCCTCAGTAAAAAGAAGAAAAAGTAATCTTATATTATAGAATAATAATAATTGAATCTTCAGTGTATAGAAGAATAAGTAATATTATATTATAGAATAATAATAAGTGAATCTTTAGTGTATAGAAGAATAAGTAATCTTATTATAATAATTGAATCTTCAGTGGGTAAATTTGAAGAATAATTCTGTTCATGTTCAACGCAGCACACAGGCTGTTTACGCTGTAGTACTGTACTGAAGCACCTGGTGTGTCACTGAAACTTCTCCAATCGACTTGTGTTTGTAATCTTATCTTTCAACAGCTGTTGCTTCTGGTATAAGTTACAGCTGAGACATGCTTGAGGAGCTCGACAGAAAGCCTGCAAACTTTATTATGGAAAGCTGTGAGTATTTGAACAGTTATTGTCCTGTTTCATTTGTGTTCCTTTGTAATGATTTTAAGTTTTGAGTAGGGTATTTAAAAATGTAATTGTGGCAGGAACAGTTGAACTAAGGCTGCTACATTGTCTTTCTGTTGGGAAATCTGGATTTGATCCTATGTGGCTTGTGTTAGTGGACTAAATTTGACAACTCAACACAAAACTGTAACCATAGGCATAGGCCTTTCTCTCTCTCTCTCTCTCTCTCTCTCTCTCTCTATATATATATATATATATATATATATATATATATATTTATATATATATATATAGGTTCTCCTTTAAATAACGGTCGCTAGTTGGACGTAGACGGCTGCTTAGTCGGAGTCCACTTCCCTGGCAGCAGTGTTCACTCACCAATATAGGTCTAGCCCTATATGTCCAACACACCTACATTCGTGGAAAAGGGACCTTTACTCATAATTTATTTTAGAAGAGCAAACTGAGCACCATCTTATTCAGTTTTTTCATTGCCTCTTAAAAGGGTGGCTGGCACATTGTGTTGAATGTTGAATTAAGAATCGACATCACAGCACTCAGGACACTCCCATAAGTGCTCAGTCCTCATCTTTAGCAGCAAGGAAAAAGTTCCAATTCCAATGGTGGCACATTGTGTTATGGTTTGCTAACAATTAAAACCAAGGAAAAGATGCACAGAACAAAAGAAAGCTACATACATTGCAATTGAATGCTTGGGGTATATATCTATATATATATTAAAACTTTCCACTAGAGTTTACAGGAGGTGAACACTAAGAAGAAGAAAAAGATAGGAAAGAGAGTAGAAAAAAAAAAGGAAATGATTGTGATGTTAACAATACTTTATTACCTGTTGTTGAATTACTGACAAGCAGCAAACTTTCCACATCAGCTCCTACAAAATCTGCCACTTCCTGTCTGGCTCTGTCCATATAATGTTTGGCAGTAATACGAATATATATATATATATATATATATATAAAAAAAAAAACACACACAAAAAAGAATACTGAAAGTGTACTACAAGCATGCTGTCTTCATGCAGTAGAGCAGGACTATTCAACTAAGTTTACAGAGGGCCCGAAATTTGGAAAATGAGGATCGTCACGGGCCAGAGGGCTAAAGCTTAGCATAGAAAGATCATTAATACAATAGGATTGGCAATGATCCCTGGGCCACTTGCTAGGCCTTCGCGGGCCAGATTTGGCCCGTGGGCTGCCAGTTGAATAGCCCTGCAGTAGAGAGATCCTAGGTTTAGCCGGTGGGGCATTCCATAGTTCATAGTTCATATTTTGAGATCATCTTTATCGCACATCAGATATGACCATAAGTGCTCCAATCTCCTCCTGAGTTTGTAAGTATTTTTAGGTTTATCAACTCTATTCTGTTCTAGCTGATGTAATGATGAGTGGCTCCCGCACGGTTTTCCTGTCTTGCAGCTTCACCTGGTACATCCATGGTATGCAGCCTGTTGAGTGAAAAATCATTTTCCATGAAGCTGAAAGCTTTACAACGTTTAGTCACTCGTCTGGCATTATCTGCATTACATCTCCAATGCTTCTGCATTCCAATGGAAAACTAAGCCGTATGGATCAGTGGAAGACATGCATTGCACCACAGACTTCATAGAGGTTATAGCCTTCTCATTTGAAAACCCCTGGCAGGGAGAACGAAAAGAAGAAAAAGAAGACAGCGGAACAGTATTTAAAGTTTTACTGAAATCTTGTTTTCTGTCTCAGATCCTGGGTGTAAACCAAAAAAATACGAGCTGGACATACATGGTCTGTCAAGTGTCAATTATGGTAAAGAGATAAAAGAGAAGGAATTTTTCCTGAATCCAGATATTGTCTTCTTCAACCATGGCAGTTATGGGACTGTACCAAGAAGGGTTCATGACCTTCAGATGAAGTAAGTTTGTAGTAAGGATCTCTAGTTTGTAATAAGGATCTCTAGTTTGTAGTAAGGATCTCTAGTTTGTAGTAAGGATCTCTAGTTTGTAGTAAGGATCTCTAGTTTGTAGTAAGGATCTTTAGTTTGTAATAAGGATCTCTAGTTTGTAGTAAGGATCTCTAGTTTGTAGTAAGGATCTTTAGTTTGTAATAAGGATCTCTAGTTTGTGGTAAATATCTCTAGGATGTAATGCAGAAATAAATAAACAAATGTCATTGAATCAAGAGGTGAGAAAAATGTGCTGGCCCTAGAAATGATATATTGAGCATCTTAGCTCTTTAAATCCCAAGGTTTTTACTTTAAAAAAAATTGTTAGTCTGTGAAGAAGTTCAAGTAGGCTGCCAGAAAATTCTGCTTAATCATGTAATGAGTTAAAGTAGATGGTTTTCTCTTTCAGTCTGTAGGATTAACACCTTACGGACTTCCTGTTCTTAGTTAGCTGGTGGGCCGTGAAACAGTTTAGCCTGCTTTAGTGGGCCGTAGGTGTAAACAGTTTGAGAAACCTTGCTCTACTAGACCAAACACAGCCAAAACAGCAACATTAATATATAACAAATAATTGCGGGCGCTATGATATCAAGAACAATAACAAAAAGTGTAAAATGAGAGCTGTTAATGTTAATTCATATACACTGTGTTCAATAAGTTTCTATACATAGAAAAAACAAACATATCACCAAGGGCATTACAAACATAACTCTATCTATGCTTATACATATTCTTCAGCAGTAAATGACACTAATCAAAATATATTTAAGGAAACAAAAATGGTGGTCAGATTCAGCATATGGTATAAACAACAGTGGTTTTCATTAAAATAATGCTCATTTTTCCTATGTATGAAAGCTTATGCGACACCCTGCAATAGGCAAAATAAACAGAGAAATAGGACCAATAAAGCGTTTGAACAAAAAAAGAGTGGATTGCTAATAATATTGTGATTCTTGGAGCAGCAGAGTTAAACAGTAAAGATCACAGAAGACATTGATTTATCTTCTTGCTATACCTGTCAGCTTGGTTTTAAAAGTTACCAAGCAGCGGCATTTCTAAAATTCTTCTCTAGGTACATGCAGGAAAGAGAAGAGCACCCTGATCTGTGGTTTCGTATTACTGCCAAACATTATATGGACAGAGCCAGACAGGAAGTGGCAGATTTTGTAGGAGCTGATGTGGAAAGTTTGCTGCTTGTCAGTAATGCAACAACAGGTAATAAAGTATTGTTAACATCACCATCGTTTCCTTTTTTTTTATACTCTCTTTCCTATCTTTTTCTTCTTCTTCGTGTTCACCTCCTGTAAACTTCGGTGGAAAGTTTTAATTGTTCGTCCCTCCTAGATTTTGGTCTTGATCCAGAACTTCAGTTCTGCAACCACATCTGTTTTACAGATCTAGTTTATTTGTGTGCAGAGTGTTAGTTCCTGGCAGAAGAGCTCCAACTTTGAAAGAAACACTTATCATAAGTCAAAATCCTATGATACAACATGCTTGTTAGCATTGTCTCTATTCTTTGTTCTCCAAATTATCCCCATATGGGTTCTGGGGCCCATTACAGGGAAAACTAGCATAAAACCCATGTATAGGAGATGACTAATTGGGGACTTCCTTTGAAGTTGGAGAGAATCTGCCCGAGTGGCATCATTTCCCATACTGAAGGGTCTTTAGAGAGGATGTCATTGTTTTTAGCCCAGAACAATTTTAATAGATTGTGAAAGCTTTGTCTTTTCAGTTGGTATTTGGTTAAGGTGTGTGCATGTGGTTGTTGTTCATGCAATTGCTTTTTTTCTGTTAGGGTAAGGATCTTTTCTTCCTGTTGGTGTCTCAAGCTCTGAAGACCAGAAGTTGCCTCCAGGTCATTGATTGATGTGCTTCTCATATCTCCAGTAATGATTCTGAGACCAGTGTTCTGTATTTTGTCCAGTTTGTTTAGTTTTGATTTGGCTGCAGTGGAGTATGCTCCCATGCCATACTCCAGTTTTGGTCTTACTTTTCCTGTGTATACTTGTCGTACAGTGTTGGCTTCTGCAGCCCGGCTTGTTCCAGTGAGTTTCTCCATATGTCGGAGCCTCAGGGTAGCGTTTATTTGGGTGTCTTCAATGTGGGGAGAGAAAGGTTAGATGGTTTTGTGGAATTTTTCTTACGCCCAGACATGTTTTAGTTGTCCTCTTTTCCATCGATGTTGCCTTCTAGGTACAGATCAAACTGATTTCTGGCTTTGTGAAAAGAAAGAGAAAAAACCTCCTTGGGGGAGTTGAGACAATTTTGTCCCTCTGTAAAGAAAGCCTTTATTGTGACAAATCCCCCTCTGAGTCTGACCTTGTCAGATTTCTCAACTGTATTTAAAGCTTCTTGCATTCTTTTTCATCAGTTTTAGTGTTATCATTGTTCCTATCTGTTCAGCCTGGGTCTATATGGCCAAGTCATATGCCTGTAGTGTACCTTGTGAACCTGATTAGCAAGAGTTCCTTCAGACAGTTTAATCATCAAGGATGATGTTAGTCAGTTTGTAATCATCAAGGATGCTGTCCAAACAGTGGTTAATGTCAGTTTAATCATCAAGGATGCTGTTCCAAAACAGTGGTTAATGTCAGTTTAATCATCAAGGATGCTGTCCCAAACAGTGGTTAATGTCAGTGTAATCATCAAGGATGCTGTCCCAAACAGTGGTTAATGTCAATCATAATCATCAAGGATGCTGTCCCAAACAGTGGTCAGTTAATCATCAAGTGCTGTCCCCAAACAGTGGTTAATGTCAGTCATCAAGGATGCTGTCCCAAACAGTGGTTAATGTCAGTGTAATCATCAAGGATGCTGTCCCAAACAGTGGTTAATGTCAGTGTAATCATCAAGGATGCTGTCCCAAACAGTGGTTAATGTCAGTGTCAAACAGTGGTTAATGTCAGTTATCATCAAGGATGCTGTCCCAAACAGTGGTTAATGTCAGTGTAATCATCAAGGATGCTGTCCCAAACAGTGGTTAATGTCAGTTTATCATCATCTGTCCCAAACAGTGGTTAATGTCAGTGTAATCATCAAGGATGCTGTCCCAAACAGTGGTTAATGTCAGTTTAATCATCAAGGATGCTGTCCCAAACAGTGGTTAATGTCAGTTTAATCATCAAGGATGCTGTCCCAAAGTGGTGTCAGTTAATGTCAGTGTTAATCATCATCAAGGATGCTGTCCCAAACAGTGGTTAATGTCAGTGTAATCATCAAGGATGCTGTCCCAAACAGTGGTTAATGTCAGTTTAATCATCAAGGATGCTGTCCCAAACAGTGGTTAATGTCAGTGTTAATCATCAAGGATGCTGTCCCAAACAGTGGTCAGTAATGTCTGTCCCAAACAGTGGTTAATCAGTCAAGGATGCTGTCCCAAACAGTGGTTAATGTCAGTGTAATCATCAAGGATGCTGTCCCAAACAGTGGTTAATGTCAGTGTTAATCATCAAGGATGCTGTCCCAAACAGTGGTTAATGTCAGTGTAATCATCAAGGATGCTGTCCCAAACAGTGGTTAATGTCAGTGTAATCATCAAGGATGCTGTCCCAAACAGTGGTTAATGTCAGTGTAATCATCAAGGATGCTGTCCCAAACAGTGGTTAATGTCAGTTTAATCATCAAGGATGCTGTCCCAAACAGTGGTTAATGTCAGTGTAATCATCAAGGATGCTGTCCCAAACAGTGGTTAATGTCAGTCAGTAATCATCAAGGATGCTGTCCCAAACAGTGGTTAATGTCAGTGTAATCATCAAGGATGCTGTCCCAAACAGTGGTTAATGTCAGTGTTAATCATCAAGGATGCTGTCCCAAACAGTGGTTAATGTCAGTTTAATCATCAAGGATGCTGTCCCAAACAGTGGTTAATGTCAGTGTAATCATCAAGGATGCTGTCCCAAACAGTGGTTAATGTCAGTGTAATCATCAAGGATGCTGTCCCAAACAGTGGTAATCATCATCAAGATGCTGTCCCAAACAGTGGTTAATGTCAGTGTAATCATCAAGGATGCTGTCCCAAACAGTGGTTAATGTCAGTTTAATCATCAAGGATGCTGTCCCAAACAGTGGGTTAATGTCAGTTTAATCATCAATGCTGTCAAACAGTGTAATCAGTCATCAAGGATGCTGTCCCAAACAGTGGTTAATGTCAGTGTAATCATCAAGGATGCTGTCCCAAACAGTGGTTAATGTCAGTGTAATCATCAAGGATGCTGTCCCAAACAGTGGTTAATGTCAGTGTAATCATCAAGGATGCTGTCCCAAACAGTGGTTAATGTCAGTGTAATCATCAAGGATGCTGTCCCAAACAGTGGTTAATGTCAGTGTAATCATCAAGGATGCTGTCCCAAACAGTGGTTAATGTCAGTGTAATCATCAAGGATGCTGTCCCAAACAGTGGTTAATGTCAGTGTAATCATCAAGGATGCTGTCCCAAACAGTGGTTAATGTCAGTGTCAAGGATGCATCAAGTGGATGTCAGTGCTGGATGCTGTCCCAAACAGTGGTTAATGTCAGTGTAATCATCAAGGATGCTGTCCCAAACAGTGGTTAATGTCAGTGTAATCATCAAACAGTGGATGCTGTCCCAAACAGTGGTTAATGTCAGTGTAATCATCAAGGATGCTGTCCCAAACAGTGGTTAATGTCAGTCATCAAGTGCTGTCCATCAAGGATGCTGTCCCAAACAGTGGTAATGTCAGTGTAATCATCAAGGATGCTGTCCCAAACAGTGGTTAATGTCAGTGTAATCATCAAGGATGCTGTCCCAAACAGTGGTTAATGTCAGTGTAATCATCAAGGATGCTGTCCCAAACAGTGGTTAATGTCAGTGTAATCATCAAGGATGCTGTCCCAAAACAGTGGTTAATGTCAGTGTAATCATCAAGGATGCTGTCCCAAACAGTGGTTAATGTCAGTGTAATCATCAAGGATGCTGTCCCAAACAGTGGTTAATGTCAGTGTAATCATCAAGGATGCTGTCCCAAACAGTGGTTAATGTCAGTTTAATCATCAAGGATGCTGCCCCAAACAGTGGTTAATGTCAGTGTAATCATCAAGGATGCTGTCCCAAACAGTGGTTAATGTCAGTTTAATCATCAAGGATGCTGTCCCAAACAGTGGTTAATGTCAGTTTAATCATCAAGGATGCTGTCCCAAACAGTGGTTAATGTCAGTTTAATCATCAAGGATGCTGTCCCAAACAGTGGTTAATGTCAGTTTAATCATCAAGGATGCTGTCCCAAACAGTGGTTAATGTCAGTTTAATCATCAGGATGCTGTCCCAAACAGTGGTTAAAGTCAGTGCATCAAGGATGCTGTCCAAACAGTGGTTAATGTCAGTTTAATCATCAAGGATGCTGTCCCAAACAGTGGTTAATGTCAGTTTAATCATCAAGGATGCTGTCCCAAACAGTGGTTAATGTCAGTTTAATCATCAAGGATGCTGTCCCAAACAGTGGTTAATGTCAGTTTAATCATCAAGGATGCTGTCCCAAACAGTGGTTAATGTCAGTTTAATCATCAAGGATGCTGTCCCAAACAGTGGTTAATGTCAGTGTAATCATCAAGGATGCTGCCCCAAACAGTGGTTAATGTCAGTGTAATCATCAAGGATGCTGTCCCAAACAGTGGTTAATGTCAGTGTAATCATCAAGGATGCTGTCCCAAACAGTGGTTAATGTCAGTGTAATCATCAAGGATGCTGTCCCAAACAGTGGTTAATGTCAGTGTAATCATCAAGGATGCTGTCCCAAACAGTGGTTAATGTCAGTTTAATCATCAAGGATGCTGTCCCAAACAGTGGTTAATGTCAGTGTAATCATCAAGGATGCTGTCCCAAACAGTGGTTAATGTCAGTGTAATCATCAAGGATGCTGTCCCAAACAGTGGTTAATGTCAGTGTAATCATCAAGGATGCTGTCCCAAACAGTGGTTAATGTCAGTGTAATCATCAAGGATGCTGCCCCAAACAGTGGTTAATGTCAGTGTAATCATCAAGGATGCTGCCCCAAACAGTGGTTAATGTCAGTGTAATCATCAAGGATGCTGCCCCAAACAGTGGTTAATGTCAGTGTAATCATCAAGGATGCTGCCCCAAACAGTGGTTAATGTCAGTGTAATCATCAAGGATGCTGCCCCAAACAGTGGTTAATGTCAGTGTAATCATCAAGGATGCTGTCCCAAACAGTGGTTAATGTCAGTGTAATCATCAAGGATGCCCCAAACAGTGGTTAATGTCAGTGTAATCATCAAGGATGCTGTCCCAAACAGAAGAAGACATAACACTCTTGCAGAGAATATATTTATATATACTTCAGTAAGTACAAGTAAAGGAGGCTTTTCCATGCCTTTCAGGCGTATTGGGTAAACAGTTTTAGACCTATATTTTATAGTCCAAATGGCACTTGGTGAGTGATGTGGTCAACGTTTACTTCCCAGGACTGTACCTGGTACCCACTCAAGGCTGGGTTGACCTGGGAGCCAAGATTTTGAAAACAATCCGGCCCTCATCAGGAACCTAACCCATGACCTTCTAATCTGCAGGCGAGCGTCTAGCTACTAAACCACAGCGGCTCCCTATATATACTTCAGTAAAAGTAAAAAAACTAAAGATCCCTTTTCACGCCTTTAGGTGCATCGGGCATATGGGAAGAGCACCCATATTTTTACAGACCAATCAGCACCAGGTGGGTAATGTGGTCAGTATTACGCCGATATATACTCAAGTGATCAATATAAATTATATAAAAATAAAAATATAAAAAATAAAAATATAAAAAATAAATATAAATTACATTCTACACTCAGATGTGTTAAATAAATGTATCACTTGATTTTTTGATCATTCTGCAGCAATCAATATCATTGTGAAATCATTCCCTTTCAAGTCTGGAGATGCTATTCTTGACACAAGCCTAACATACGGGGCGGTTAAAAATCTGTGTGCCGATTTTACATCCAGACTGAGACCAGGTAAATAAATGATTTCATTCCTGTGAGGTTTCCAGAGCCCCTAATCAAGTAATGTGGTGTAAGGTGATTAAATAGAGGTTTTGCTGAAATTAAATGTATTAGACCAAAACGCATACACATTGCAGCCTGGCTGTAGACCACATTACAACAGGCCAACCGCCTTTTTTTAAAGAGTGAATGCAAAAGAAAAAGAAGAATGACATCGCTTAAAAGTTAAATTGGCTTCAACAGATTTAGTTTGTCTTTTACAGACTAGGAAATGTGACTGTAATTAGCCGTAACTCTACTTTTAAATCAGGCTTAGGTAACTCTTAAGTTATAAGATAACTTTTACTGTTTTATTATAATCTGTTATCTAAAACTGAAACCACACAAAAGATAATGAGAACAAATCAAGCAGATAATAACACAATATTCTCTGATGAAATCCCATTTTCCCAGTGTGGGTTCTAGGGCCCCATTGTGGGGGCAGGGGGAGGAGACCCACAGTCTCCCTAAAATGCATGTCGTAAACGTCAACTAATTAGGGGTTTCTTTAAAAGTCAGAGTGTTTGTGCCAGACAGGCAATAAACAATCGGTCTGCCTACAAAAAAGCCAGATCTGTAAAATGCATGTGTAGGCAAAACTCAAGTTCTGGAACAAGACTGAAGTCTAGAAATGGACAAACAACCCGAACTTCCCCTAGAGTTCACAGCTGGTGTATGAGAAGAAGAAAAAATCCTATCTGAAGAGGTAAACTTATACTCCTATTTAGATAGCATTGAAGATTTCAGATAGAAAAACAAATATAAAAAATAGGCCCCAAAAATATAACACCAACACCATGGATCCATACACCCCAAAACAGTCTTAGCAGTCTAATGGTTGGTGGGACCTCCTACCCCCACATATCATTTACATAACAAACACGCACACCCACCCACCTGCCCACATACACAAAACACCACACACAAAAAACAAAAACCTCAGCTTTAGAATGAAAACTGCTTGGCAATTATATAAATTATTTAAAAAATTCATTAGTATGGCTATTATCCTGGTGACCTAAATGCCAGTGCATCGAAATTCAGAGTTGAAATTCTCAGTCTTCAGGATTTACAAGCAACATGATAATGATTACAACCAACAAACCAGTCAAGCTTCTAACAATCAACATACAATTAACTTTTTACAAATGGCTGAAATGTCTCATATTGTTTGCAGACGTGAACAGAATCATTCTGGAGTTGGATTTTCCTATTGAGAGTGCAGATGACATCATCCTAAAATATGAGGAGATTTTGGAGCAGAATCCAGAGATTAGGATGGTTATTCTTGGTATGTCATATTTTACTGAGTAAGAATTCTCGGGGTTCTGTTTAAATTATTAGAAACTGATCACTTTTTCAGTGCAGAATCTGATAACATGGAAAGGAGATTTCCAGTTATTTGAAGAAAACTTCTTAACAGAAAGGCTATGAAAGAGCCAAATCTGGGAGGAACATGGGCCTGAATAAAGAAGATGATAGAGTAAGAGAGAGAATAAGTCAAGATAATGTCAAAGTATGAGAATAAGTCAAGATTATGTCAAAGTATGAGAATAAGTCAAGATTCCATTGCCTTCCTAATAGGTATTTGACTTTTATCAGGAAGGTATTTTTCCCATAGTCTTAGTGTTAGAGGTTACAGGGTTTGCCACGAGTCACCCGATAACAATTTTATGTAGGTCCTAGAGAATGTATTCCATGTAATGCTTCACTCAGTTCATGTTTTTTGATTAAATCCTTTATATATTATACAAAGTTTTTTAAATTCATAAATTTTTCAACAAATTTATTAGTGACATGTATAAAATGTTTGGTTTTGTTTAAGGATAACAAAACTTTTCCACTTTTTTTGAAGCATTGCTGGAGTGAAGGGATTGAAATGGTCATAACATATCTCAGAGTGAAAGGAGAATATTTTATGAATAACTGTGTGGGTGTTCTTTTTTTAAGAGGGTGTGTGGCTGATGCTTAACACTCAGGGAAAGGATGAGATGAATATACAATCAGACGGCTACTGGTGCCATCGAAATTGAAACTCTTCGCTTGCTGCTGAAGATGGGGGACGGAGCACTTATGGGAGTGTCCAAAGTGCTGTGATGTCGATTCTTAATTCAGCATTTAACATTTCAAAGATCACATTACCAGCGCCACCCTTCGTCATCATGCCTGTAGAAAGACTTGTTGATATTTGCCACAAACATGGCACCATTGTGAAACATTTTATTGGTGTTCATGTTTCATAGATCACATCACCAGCCCCACCTCTATCGTCATGCCTGTGGAAAAACTTGTTGACATCTTCCACAAACATGGCGCTGTTGTAAATGATTGTATGGTGTTCATATTTCACAGATCACATCACCAGCCCCACCTCCATCGTCATGCCTGTAGAAAGACTTGTAGACATCTGCCACAAACATGGCGCTGTTGTGGTTATAGATGGGGCTCATGCCATAGGTCAGATACCACTGAACATGCAGACGATTGGTGCTGATGTCTACATATGTACGTATGGTTGTATTACATAGATTGTTATTTTTTGTTGTTTTATTTTTAATCAAGTATTTCATTGCATACAGATATCTTCATATGTTCAGTAGTATCCTTCTATAGATTGCACAAGGAGAATCTTAGCACTGTGCACAAACTCTGTAGAACCAACCAAGGATTAAAATCAAGAATCACACATCTTCTTCGTCCTCAGCATTCCTAGCCGCTGAGGTTCACTGCTGTAAACCAGCTAGGCCTTCACTTATCTCTGTGATTGGTCTTCTCTTTCCAGTTGGTAACTCTGAGTGTTTTCTGTCTACCTAGATATTATCTCTCCGTCGTCTTCTTTGTATGCCTCATGGTCTACTCCCATTCAACTCTTTTGTGTTTGTAGTTTTTGTCTCTCTTTTGTCTGCCATTTCCTCCATATGCCCCAAACCAATTTAGTCTAGCCCTCAGGATGCCAGTAATTAGTGATTTTCCCATGTGGGCTCTGAGGCCCGACTGACTCTCTAACAAGCATGTCATAAGAGTCGACTAATTGGAGTCTTCCTTCAAAGTTGCCATAGAGGCGAGGAACCAATAATCTGCATACAATTAAGTTAGATCTGTTAAATGGATGTGCACACAACACCCAGGTTCTGGAACAAAACTAAAGTCCAGAAGTGGACAAACAACCATAATTTTCTGGCAGAGTTTACAGCCGGTGAACGTGAAGAAGAAGTAATGATTTAAACAGATTATGATTTTAATTGTTGCAACTTAGTGACAATTCTAGGTTGTTTGCCTCTTTGATGGGTCTACATATTAGTTTGAAGACAATGTTCTCAAAAGTTTATAATAAGACTTCATCTCTTTTAGTTGCACTGTAGGAGATGTCACACCTTTGAAGTGACTTACTGAGCCTGCTTTTTTAAATATCATCATGGGATGTAGAGGCGCATCACTCCTGTGGAGGTGCACAAAGACCAGGGCACATGCCGGTTCATATCCGTCTACATCTCAATGGGATCGTCCTAGAGACAGATCGACCACTGGGGAGCCTGGCCAGTGCATAAAGGATCAGCTAGAAAGGGGTCATCAGCAAACAACAAGAAATGAAAATTCTTCTTCTGTACCTTCTTATGCTTTCACTCTTAAAATAGTTGTTCACACATTGTGTTATGATTTATGATGTATGGTGGCTGTACAGTGTATGGTGTCTGCACAGTGTATGGTGACTGTACAGTGTAAGGTGACTGCACAGTGTATGGTGACTGCACAGTGTATGGTGACTGCACAGTGTATGGTGACTGCACAGTGTATGGTGACTGCACAGTGTATGGTGACTGCACAGTGTATGGTGACTGCACAGTGTATGGTGACTGCACAGTGTATGGTGACTGCACAGTGTATGGTGACTGCACAGTGTATGGTGACTGCACAGTGTATGGTGTCTGCACAGTACGTGTACAGTGTATGATGGCTGCACAATGTATGGTGGCTGCACAATGTATGGTGGCTGCACAATGTATGGTGGCTGCACAATGTATGGTGGCTGCACAATGTATGGTGGCTGCACAATGTATGGTGGCTGCACAATGTATGGTGGCTGCACAATGTATGGTGGCTGCACAATGTATGGTGGCTGCACAATGTATGGTGGCTGCACAATGTATGGTGGCTGTACAGTGTATGGTGGCTGCACAATGTATGGTGGCTGCAGAGTGTATGGTGACTGCACAGTGTATGGTGGCTGCAGAGTGTATGGTGGCTGCACAGTGTATGGTGACTGCACAGTGTATGGTGACTGCACAGTGTATGGTGTCTGCACAGTGTATGTGGCTGCACAGTGTATGGTGGCTGCACAGTGTATGGTGACTGCACAGTGTATGGTGCACAGTGTATGCACAGTGTATGGTGACTGCACAGTGTATGGTGACTGCACAGTGTATGGTGACTGCACAGTGTACGGTGACTGCACAGTGTATGGTGTCTGCACAGTGTATGGTGTCTGCACAGTGTATGGTGTCTGCACAGTGTGTATGGTGTCTGCACAGTGTATGGTGGCTGCACAGTGTATGGTGACTGCACAGTGTATGGTGACTGCACAGTGTATGGTGTCTGCACAGTGTATGGTGACTGCACAGTGTATGGTGACTGCACAGTGTATGGTGTCTGCACAGTGTATGGTGACTGCACAGTGTATGGTGACTGCACAGTGTATGGTGACTGCACAGTGTATGGTGACTGCACAGTGTATGGTGACAGCACAGTGTAGTGTATGGTGACTGCACAGTGTATGGTGACTGCACAATGTATGGTGACTGCACAATGTATGGTGACTGTACACATGTATGGTGACTGCACAGTGTATGGTGACTGCACAATGTATGGTGGCTGCACAATGTATGGTGACTGTACAGTGTATGGTGACTGCACAGTGTATGGTGGCTGCACAATGTATGGTGACTGCACAGTGTATGGTGACTGCACAGTGTATGGTGACTGCACAGTGTATGGTGACAGCACAGTGTATGGTGACTGCACAGTGTGTGGTGACTGCACAATGTATGGTGACTGCACAGTGTATGGTGACTGCACAGTGTATGGTGACTGCACAGTGTATGGTGGCTGCACAGTGTATGGTGACTGCACAGTGTATGGTGACTGCACAGTGTATGGTGACTGCACAGTGTATGGTGTCTGCACAGTACGTGAACAGTGTATGGTGGCTGTACAGTGTATGGTGGCTGTACAGTGTATGGTGACTGCACAATGTATGGTGACTGCACAGTGTATGGTGACTGGTGGACCCTGCAACAATGTATGGTGACTGCACAGTGTATGGTGACTGCACAATGTATGGTGACTGGTGTATGGTGACTGCACAGTGTATGGTGACTGCACAGTGTATGGTGACTGCACAGTGTGTGGTGACTGCACAATGTATGGTGACTGCACAGTGTATGGTGACTGCACAGTGTATGGTGACTGCACAGTATATGGTGTCTGCACAGTGTATGGTGACAGCACAGTGTATGGTGACTGCACAGTGTATGGTGACTGCACAGTGTATGGTGTCTGCACAGTGTATGGTGACTGCACACTGTATGGTGTCTGCACAGTGTATGGTGACAGCACAGTGTATGGTGACTGCACAGTGTATGGTGACTGCACAGTGTATGGTGTCTGCACAGTGTATGGTGACTGCACAGTGTATGGTGACTGCACAGTGTATGGTGTCTGCACAGTGTATGGTGACTGCACAGTGTATGGTGTCTGCACAGTATGTGTACAGTTTATGGTGACTGCACAGTGTATGGTGACTGCACAGTGTATGGTGACTGCACAGTGTATGGTGACTGCACAGTGTATGGTGGCTGTACAGTGTATGGGGTGACTGCACAGTGTATGGTGACTGCACAGTGTATGGTGACTGCACAGTGTATGGTGACTGCACAGTGTATGGTGACTGCACAGTGTATGGTGACTGCACAGTGTATGGTGACTGCACAGTGTATGGTGACTGCACAGTGTATGGTGACTGCACAGTGTATGGTGCACAGTGTGCACAGTGTATGGTGACTGCACAGTGTATGGTGACTGCACAGTGTATGGTGACTGCACAGTGTATGGTGACTGCACAGTGTATGGTGACTGCACAATGTATGGTGACTGCACAGTGTATGGTGACTGCACAATGTATGGTGGCTGTACAGTGTATGGTGACTGCACAATGTATGGTGACTGCACAGTGTATGGTGACTGCACAATGTATGGTGACTGCACAATGTATGGTGGCTGCACAGTGTATGGTGACTGCACAGTGTATGGTGACTGCACAATGTATGGTGACTGCACAGTGTATGGTGACTGCACAATGTATGGTGGCTGTACAGTGTATGGTGACTGCACAGTGTATGGTGACAGCACAGTGTATGGTGACTGCACAGTGTGTGGTGACTGCACAATGTATGGTGACTGCACAGTGTATGGTGACTGCAGTGTATGGTGACTGCACAGTGTATGGTGGCTGCACAGTGTATGGGTGACTGCACAGTGTATGGTACTGCACAGTGTATGGTGACTGCACAGTGTATGGTGACTGCACAGTGTATGGTGACTGCACAAGTGTATGGTGACTGCACAGTGTATGGTGACTGCACAGTGTATGGTGACTGCACAGTGTATGGTGACTGCACAGTGTATGGTGACTGCACAGTGTATGGTGACTGCACAGTGTATGGTGACTGCACAGTGTATGGTGACTGCACAGTGTATGGTGACTGCACAGTGTATGGTGACTGCACAGTGTATTGGTGACTGCACAGTGTATGGTGCACAGTGTATGGTGTCTGCACAGTGTATGGTGACTGCACAGTGTATGGTGACTGCACAGTGTATGGTGACTGCACAGTGTATGGTGTCTGCACAGTGTATGGTGACAGCACAGTGTATGGTGACTGCACAGTGTATGGTGACTGCACAGTGTATGGTGTCTGCACAGTGTATGGTGACTGCACAGTGTATGGTGACTGCACAGTGTATGGTGTCTGCACAGTGTATGGTGACTGCACAGTGTATGGTGTCTGCACAGTATGTGTACAGTTTATGGTGACTGCACAGTGTATGGTGTCTGCACAGTATGTGTACAGTTTATGGTGACTGCACAGTGTATGGTGACTGCACAGTGTATGGTGTCTGCATAGTACGTGTACAGTGTATGGTGGCTGTACAGTGTATGGTGGCTGTACAGTGTATGGTGACTGCACAGTGTATGGTGACTGCACAGTGTATGGTGACAGCACAGTGTATGGTGACTGCACAGTGTATGGTGACTGCACAGTGTATGGTGACTGCACAGTGTATGGTGACTGCAGTGTATGGTGACTGCACAGTGTATGGTGGTGGACTGCACAGTGTATGGTGACTGCACAGTGTATGGTGACTGCACAGTGTATGGTGACTGCACAGTGTATGGTGACTGCACAGTGTATGGTGGACTGCACAGTGTATGGTGACTGCACAGTGTATGGTGACTGCACAGTGTATGGTGGTGACTGCACAGTGTATGGTGTCTGCACAGTGTATGGTGACTGCACAGTGTATGGTGACTGCACAGTGTATGGTGACTGCACAGTGTATGGTGACTGCACAGTGTATGGTGTCTGCACAGTGTATGGTGACTGCACAGTGTATGGTGACTGCACAGTGTATGGTGACTGCACAGTGTATGGTGACTGCACAGTGTATGGTGACTGCAGTGTATGGTGACTGCACAGTGTATGGTGACTGCACAGTGTATGGTGACTGCACAGTGTATGGTGACAGCACAGTGTATGGTGACTGCACAGTACGTGTACAGTGTATGGTGTCTGCACAGTACGTGTACAGTGTATGGTGGCTGCACAGTGTATGGTGACAGCAAAGTGTATGGTGACTGCACAGTGTATGGTGTCTGTACAGTACGTGTACAGTGTATGGTGACTGCACAATGTATGGTGACTGCACAATGTATGGTGACTGTACAATGTATGGTGACTGCACAGTGTATGGTGACTGCACAATGTATGGTGGCTGCACAATGTATGGTGACTGTACAATGTATGGTGACTGCACAGTGTATGGTGGCTGCACAATGTATGGTGACTGCACAATGTATGGTGGCTGTACAGTGTATGGTGACTGCACAGTGTATGGTGGCTGCACAATGTATGGTGACTGCACAGTGTATGGTGACTGCACAATGTATGGTGGCTGTACAGTGTATGGTGACTGCACAGTGTATGGTGACTGCACAGTGTATGGTGACTGCACAGTGTATGGTGACTGCACAGTGTATGGTGACTGCACAGTGTATGGTGACTGCAGTGTATGGTGGCTGCACAGTGTATGGTGGCTGCACAGTGTATGGTGTCTGTACAGTACGTGTACAGTGTACGGTGACTGCACAATGTATGGTGACTGCACAGTGTATGGTGACTGCACAATGTATGGTGACTGCACAGTGTATGGTGACTGCACAGTGTATGGTGACTGCAGTGTATGGTGGCTGCACAGTGTATGGTGGCTGCACAGTGTATGGTGGCTGCACAGTGTGTGGTGACTGCAGTGTATGGTGACTGCACAATGTATGGTGGCTGCACAGTGTATGGTGGCTGCACAGTGTATGGTGACTGCACAATGTATGGTGACTGCACAATGTATGGTGACTGCACAGTGTATGGTGACTGCACAGTGTATGGTGACTGCACAGTGTATGGTGACTGCACAGTGTATGGTGACAGCACAGTGTATGGTGACTGCACAATGTATGGTGACTGCACAGTGTATGGTGACTGCACAGTGTATGGTGACAGCACAGTGTATGGTGACTGCACAGTGTATGGTTGCTGCACAATGTAGTTGATCCCACCAGCTGTCAGACCTAAATCCTCCAACTCCACTTTCTGTTGGCTGGTGTGTGGTTTTACTGGGCAGTTTTACATTCAATAGTCTTCCATTACTTATTGTTGTTGAAATCGCCACAACGTGGTCTGCTGCCAAACTGTCTGCAACTGACTTTGAACCCTGGTTTGTCAGAATTATGAAACTACATTTATAACCCCTAAGCCACATACACTGGCCAATAGGACAATATCTATAATTGTAACTTAGTAGAATGTTAACTATCCATTTCCATTCCTCTTTAGCAAACCTACACAAATGGTGCTTTGCTCCCCGTGGGGTGGCTTTCATGTCATTCGACAACAAACATGCGGGTTGGATCCACCCTTCCAACACTTCATGGCAGCTGGGTCTCTCCTTGGACAAGCAGTTCTTTGACCAGGGAACCAGGGATCACACACCGTACATTTGTGCTAGGCATGCGCTGCAGTTTTACATGGCCATTGGTGGCATGGTGAGTAAGGGATCCTCGTTTTCCTGACTATGACATGGAAATTGTTTTGTTTTTCATCAGGTAGGTAAAGTAGAGGATCTTTTTCTACACTTTTAGTGATATTAGGCATATAGGGCTAGACCTATATTTAATAGACTAATCAGCACTCAGACCTCAGGCATGCAACCATGAAGTCCATCACAACTGACCGCCAAATGTGGAGAAAGCTGATCGGACAGTCAACAGAAACTGGTGACCCAATGACAGGTAGTGTTATGGGATGATGATGATGGATTAATCAGCACTCAGTGGGTGATGTGGTCACATCATGCCGGCTGCCTTTACTTCCCAAGACTTGACCTGGTACCCATTTAAGGTTGGATCGACCTGGGAATTAGTAGGTGGCTGTTGTTTGTTGTTGCCATTAGGACTGGCCAGGTGTAAACTCCAGCAGAAAGTCCTGGTTGTTGTTTGTTGTTGCCGTTAGGACTGGCCAGGTGTAAACTCCAGCAGAAAGTCCTGGTCGTTGTTTGTTGTTGCCGTTAGGACTGGCCAGGTGTAAACTCCAGCAGAAAGTCCTGGTTGTTGTTTGTTGTTGCCGTTAGGACTGACCAGGTGTAAACTCCAGCAGAAAGTCCTGGCCGTTGTTTGTTGTTGCCGTTAGGACTGACCAGGTGTAAACTCCAGCAGAAAGTCCTGGCCGTTGTTTGTTGTTGCCATTAGGACTGACCAGGTGTAAACTCCAGCAGAAAGTCCTGGCCGTTGTTTGTTGTTGCCGTTAGGACTGGCCAGGTGTAAACTCCAGCAGAAAGTCCTGGCCGTTGTTTGTTGTTGCCGTTAGGACTGACCGGGTGTAAACTCCAGCAGAAAGTCCTGGCCGTTGTTTGTTGTTGCCGTTAGGACTGACCAGGTGTAAACTCCAGCAGAAAGTCCTGGCCGTTGTTTGTTGTTGCCGTTAGGACTGACCAGGTGTAAACTCCAGCAGAAAGTCCTGGCCGTTGTTTGTTCTTGCTGTTAGGACTGGCCAGGTGTAAACTCCAGCAGAAAGTCCTGGCCGTTGTTTGTTGTTGCCGCTAGGACTGGCCAGGTGTAAACTCCAGCAGAAAGTCCTGGCCGTTGTTTGTTGTTGCCGTTAGGACTGACCAGGTGTAAACTCCAGCAGAAAGTCCTGGCCGTTGTTTGTTGTTGCCGTTAGGACTGGCCAGGTGTAAACTCCAGCAGAAAGTCCTGGCCGTTGTTTGTTGTTGTCGTTAGGACTGACCAGGTGTAAACTCCAGCAGAAAGTCCTGGCCGTTGTTTGTTGTTGCCGTTAGGACTGGCCAGGTGTAAACTCCAGCAGAAAGTCCTGGCCGTTGTTTGTTGTTGCCGTTAGGACTGGCCAGGTGTAAACTCCAGCAGAAAGTCCTGGCCGTTGTTTGTTGTTGCCGTTAGGACTGGCCAGGTGTAAACTAAAGCAGAAAGTCCTGGCCGTTGTTTGTTGTTGCCGTTAGGACTGGCCAGGTGTAAACTCCAGCAGAAAGTCCTGGCCGTTGTTTGTTGTTGCCGTTAGGACTGACCGGGTGTAAACTCCAGCAGAAAGTCCTGGCCGTTGTTTGTTGTTGCCGTTAGGACTGACCAGGTGTAAACTCCAGCAGAAAGTCCTGGCCGTTGTTTGTTGTTGCCGTTAGGACTGACCAGGTGTAAACTCCAGCAGAAAGTCGTGGCTGTTGTTTGTTCTTGCCGTTAGGACTGGCCAGGTGTAAACTCCAGCAGAAAGTCCTGGCCGTTGTTTGTTGTTGCCACTAGGACTGGCCAGGTGTAAACTCCAGCAGAAAGTCCTGGCCGTTGTTTGTTGTTGCAGTTAGGACTGACCAGGTGTAAACTCCAGCAGAAAGTCCTGGCCGTTGTTTGTTGTTGCCGTTAGGACTGGCCAGGTGTAAACTCCAGCAGAAAGTCCTGGCCGTGGTTTGTTGTTGCCGTTAGGACTGACCAGGTGTAAACTCCAGCAGAAAGTCCTGGCCGTTGTTTGTTGTTGCCGTTAGGACTGACCAGGTGTAAACTCCAGCAGAAAGTCCTGGCCGTTGTTTGTTGTTGCCGTTAGGACTGACCAGGTGTAAACTCCAGCAGAAAGTCCTGGCCGTTGTTTGTTGTTGCCGTTAGGACTGACCAGGTGTAAACTCCAGCAGAAAGTCCTGGCCGTTGTTTGTTGTTGCCGTTAGGACTGACCAGGTGTAAACTCCAGCAGAAAGTCCTGGCTGTTGTTTGTTGTTGCCGTTAGGACTGGCCAGGTGTAAACTCTAGCAGAAAGTCCTGGCCGTTGTTTGTTGTTGCCGCTAGGACTGGCCAGGTGTAAACTCCAGCAGAAAGTCCTGGCCGTTGTTTGTTGTTGCAGTTAGGACTGACCAGGTGTAAACTCCAGCAGAAAGTCCTGGCCGTTGTTTGTTGTTGCCGTTAGGACTGGCCAGGTGTAAACTCCAGCAGAAAGTCCTGGCCGTGGTTTGTTGTTGCCGTTAGGACTGACCAGGTGTAAACTCCAGCAGAAAGTCCTGGCCGTTGTTTGTTGTTGCCGTTAGGACTGACCAGGTGTAAACTTCAGCAGAAAGTCCTGGCCGTTGTTTGTTGTTGCCGTTAGGACTGGCCAGTTATTAACTCTAGCAGAAAGTCCTGGCCGTTGTTTGTTGTTGCCGTTAGGACTGACCAGGTGTAAACTCCAGCAGAAAGTCCTGGCCGTTGTTTGTTGTTGCCGTTAGGACTGGCCAGGTGTAAACTCCAGCAGAAAGTCCTGGCTGTTTGTGTCTAAGATGACAACAGGTACCATCAGCATGGAGACTCATCGCTGGCTGCTGAGCAGGGAGATGTGGGCTTGTGCAGAATATTGTGATCTCAAAGGTTAACTCAAATGTTTGTGTCTAGACTTTGGTCTTGTTCCACAACTTGAGTGATGCAAGCACATTTGTTTTACAGATCTGCCTTATTGTATGCAGACTGCTGGTTCTTCACTTGTCAAGAAAATGCGTTCTTTTTTAGAAGAAAATGTCAATCCAATCTACGCTGGCCAGGTACCAGTAGAGAAACCTGCTTCTTGGATGATCATGGAGAGGTATAAATAGCTCTTGCCCGGTCTGAGCCATGCATTCCTTACTTGCACACCTGGCTGATGTAACCAATAATTATGATTATAATTTCTCTGGAAATTGAAGGGGGCAGGTGATTTCTGTCTGTTTGGTCTGCCCTCAAGATTCAGATTTAAAAATCTCAGAATGGTCTGGTAGCAGCCCAGAGGGGACAAACTTATTGATCATTCTGAGCTCTGGTTCGGGTCCCCCCTCCCTCCCCCCACCACATGTGATGGTGCATTCCTGCATCTCATTAGCTCATTGAGGGCTGATGCTCCAAATGAGGAGAAACAAGTACAAAAGATCAGGTAACTGCAGTTCCAACTTCATAGTCAACATGTCACCTCACAGTTGCTCTGTTTTTGTGCCGACGAAATCCCCACACAATGTCCATGTCCATCATTGTCCCTGGTTAAAAAAAAAATGGACACAGACTCCAGTCTTAGCAAATCCAACAGCTTAAAGATGCATTCAGTGCATAGAGCAGCAAGCCAGACGTGCCACCAGCAGTGATGGTCCAATATTAGAAATGCAGTTCATTATCGATCAGTGCAGAAGAAGAAACTATCATCATAAGTATGTTGACAACTTGCATGGGTGATCATGCTTCTCCATATCATGTGATCTCCAGAAGTATTTATTAGTTTATGTGTGATACCTTTTCATGTCAGACAGGAGGCCATGAAGCATCTTCTTGTTTATCTTCCTCTATCTGTTTTTAATTTTCTTCATTTGTCTTTCTCTATCTCTTTTTCAATTTATCACATTTACAAGTTTTTCTGGGAGTCACCGTGGTGGAGCGGCTATACGCTTGCCGTGGATCGGAAGGTCATGGGTTCACTCCATGGCAGAGCCAGACATTTTTCAAAAAAGAACTTGGCTCCTAGGTCGACCCAGCCTTGAGTGGGTACCGAGTGCAGTTCCGGGAAGTAAAGGCGGCCGGCGTGATGCTGACCGCATCACCCATCTTGTGCTGATTGGTCTATAAAATATAGGTCTAGCCCTATATGCCCTATACATCTAAAGGGTCCTTTACTTTTACTTTACTTTTACTAGTTTTTCTAGTCTCTTGATGGTAAATAAAAAATGATATGAAAGCAGTAAAGGTACATGATGCCTGACTCATATTTCTATATGGCAATCAGTCCTCAATGGGTAGTGTAGTCACCTTTACTTCCCCGGACTTTTCTTGGTACCCAGTTTAGGCTGGGTAAACCTGTGAGCCATCGTCATTTGTGAAGATTCACACTCACGACCTTTGGGTCGGCAGACGGAGCTTCTAGCCGCTACATAACTGCAACCCCCATGGCATACATTCAGGTTCACAAAAATTATAAAGAAAATATGAGAAGTAAACAATCGCCATAAATAACAATCTGTGTTCAAGAATGAGAGCACAGCTCACCTAATGGTAATGAAACCATGCCAAAACCTTTGTTCTTCAAGTTCAACAAAAACAACCACCATCAAGTGTCCAGAATAAGAACAATTTAAAACACATTTTCATGATTTAGGACAAGATTGTTGACTACACACGCCAGCTTGCAGACACGACCTTGGAGATCTTCTCCTCTGAACTTGGGCTTGAGGCAATTCAGATTCCAGAATTATTGCAGGCTCCCAATATGAGATTGGTCAAACTCCCATCATTTCCTAAGTTTCCCTGTGCTGAGGTAAGTGCTAGAGTTTAACAGCAGTCTAGAAACAGTATTCTTATATTCATTATCTGTCACAGTCCTCTCTATCTCTCTACATTACATAGAGTAACAAACAGTGTAATGATTGCCACTCATAGAAAGAAGTAGAAAGAAAGAAGAACACACTAGACAACATACAAATCGAAAGCTATAATTACTGTGCTAGGAATCGAACCCTTCACCCCAGACAGCGTGTGCGCCTCGCTGTGGAAACAAGTGCACTAAGAACATGGTCAACTAGGCATCCCCCCCAAAAAGGTGTTTTATTGGCCATGTCTATCGTACAGCTTGAAATCCACAACTATGGAATACGGACAGAATTCATTTCAAACCATTGAATTGGCACCATAAGTTACAGAAATTTATATTAATGAAGCATAGATCAAATAACAAGCACGGCAAGAAATTACAAACACAGTAGACCTTAATGCTTTGTCTAGAATACACAAACATTGAAGAAAGGTATTTGATTGGTAGGTTCCGGTGTGTATACGTCATTCACATAAATAAACAGAGGGGGAACCTATTAAAAAGATACTCAGTAACAACAATCAAATGGCTTGTCAGTAAAAGCCTCCCTGACAGAGTACACACTTACATACACAACACGGCCACCACTGGCTGAGTTCTCGCACACAAGTGTTTATTAGACACTAATTATAACAGCATGTATTGGAATGGTCCGCCTGCTCGACCCAAGACTGACTACTCCTGGGAGCTCTTTACAATCGCTGCCAACTTTCTGGGACTCCACAGTCACAAACCAGCCTACAACATCGTCATCATGTTCACATTCCTATGTCATCATCTTCACAGTAATATGACATCATTTTCACAGTCCTATGTCATCATCTTCACAGTCCTATGTCATCATCTTCACAGTCCTATGTCATCATCTTCACAGTAATATGACATCATTTTCACAGTCCTATGTCATCATCTTCACAGTCCTATGTCATTAGGTGATTTGTTGCCGTTGATTATCTGATCAGTTCCCTACATCTCTGTCAGTCAGATGTACTAGACTTGATCTTTACATGTTTGAGACCTGTCCAACGACCATCAGTATCTTTAATTGTCGATCTCTTCCCCTCTACAGAACTCTGTAGTATCATTTTGGAGAGGCTGATAGATCTTGTTTAATGTCTGTAAAATTGTATTTTCTGTCATTTCACCATTGTAAAAAGAGGTTCATAGCAGCATAGCTTTATATTTTAGTAGTTTACATTATTTCATTAAGGGGTAGTGGGTCTGTTATTTGTTCTCCAAATTGGAGTCCCCAGAAACCACACTGTGAACTAGGGAGCATCTTTTTACTTACACCTACAACACCCATTTCATGCACTGATAACTACCAATTACACTAGTCAACAACCAAGGTGCACCAGAAATGAAAGTAGCTGATCTTAACTAATTTTGAGGTGCTCAAAACAAAAATGACATTAAAAATTGTTGATGTTGGCTCTAGTTTTCAATCTTAGACTTACTAATTATCTTTTAACAATCATTTTGCCACAATCTTAGACTTATTAATTACCTTTTAACAACTTCCTTGTCACAGTCTTAGACTTATTAATTATCTTTCACCAACTTCCTTGTCACAATCATAGATTTACTAATTATCTTTCAACAACTTCCATGTCACAATCTTAGACTTACTAATTATCTTTCATCAACTTCCATGTTACTGTCTTAGACTTACTAATTATCTTTCATCAACTTCCATGTCACAATCTTAGATTTACTAATTATCTTTCATCAACTTCCTTGTCACAATCTTAGACTTACTAACTATCTTTCATCAACTTCCATGTCACAATCTTAGATTTACTAATTATCTTTCATCAACTTCCTTGTCACAATCTTAGACTTACTAACTATCTTACACCAACTTCCTTGGCACAATCTTAGACTTACTAATTATCTTACACCAACTTCCTTGGCACAATCTTATACTTACTAATTATCTTACACCAACTTCCTTGGCACAATCTTAGACTTACTAATTATCTTTCACCAACTTCCTTGTCACAGTCTTATACTTACTAATTATCTTTCACCAACTTCCTTGTCACAGTCTTAGACTTACTAATTATCTTTAACAAATGTCCTTGCCATAGTCTTATGCTCTCTGATTATTTTTTAACATCACTACCACAGTCTCATACAGGACCTTGAGACATTCCCTGCTCTAAACTAAAGGAATACAAAGTTATCACTTACACCCACAGTTCAGCACATTAACTACCAGGATATTTACTGTCAGCATTATCCTCTTTTTCTTTGCTGCACCAGCTGTAAACCTCGGCAGAAAGTTCTGGTTGTTCAGCCAATCTGTTTGAGGTGTACTGTTATCAATTTTATTGGGCCTGTCCCTTTTGAGAAGGAAACATAAAGCAGACCCACTGCTCCTCCCCCCCCCTCCCAACATGCATATCATATAAGGTGATTAGTTAGGAGGTGGCTGAAACTAGTTGTTTTGGGCCAAAAAGTGCAATACCACCACCAAGCTGTAAACCACAACATCATCATCATCATCAGGTGCTTTACCCAGGCGTGGGCGATCATGCCTCTCCATAATCCACGATCTCCTGCAGCATGTATCAGTTTGTGTGCCAACACATCTCCATGCCATGCAACAAGACTGTCAAGAATCTTCTCTCGTTGTCTTTCTCTATCCCTCCTCCTACAGATCTTTCCAGTGGTCACCACATGTGATATTTTCCCTCTTCTCATAACATGGCCGAAAAATGATGACTGTCTCCTTCTGATGTCTGTGAAAAGTTGTCTTCGGGCTCCTGCCTCTTTCAAAACCTCTTGATTGCTCTTTTTGGCTGTCCAAGGTATTCTAAGCATTCTTCTGTAAAACCACATCTCTGAGGCCTCAAGAAATTGTAAACCACAACACAGCACGCTAATCGCAGAAGAAGAAACCTGGGCTGAAATGGAAAAAGATTCACTCTAAATCTACATTAATAAAGTTATATAATTGGTCTATTTCTTGTTATTTCAGGAAAACACATGGTCTCTACAACAGGCTATGTTTGGTGGTACAAAAGTTTTTGGACTATTGGTTTTCATATCTGGGGCATTTTACTTTCGGTTTTCTGTACAGATTTACAATGATCTAGAAGAAATCAGGACAGTTGTAAAAGTTGTTCAGGATTTTATTGCAAAAAATGTTTAATCGGCACCATGTCTAAACACAAAGTAAGTAAAGGTTCTTTTTCCATGAGGCATATAGGGCATTTAGCATTGTTGACCATGCCTAAAAAGGAACATGAAAATATTGGTTGACTATCCCAAAAAAGTTTCATGTGGATGACGTCACCAATTAAGTGCTGATTGGCAGGGCAATTCATCTGGTGGCCTGTGGGCCAGATTTGGCCTGGGTGTGAAATCTCTAGAAATTCATATGTGAATGACAGTCCAGTATGGGGAAATCTCTAGAAATTCATATGTGAATGACAGTCCAGTATGGGGAAATCTCTAGAAATTCATTTGTGAATGACGGTCCAGTATGGGGAAATCTCTAGAAATTCATATGTGAATGACAGTCCAGTATGGGGAAATCTCTAGAAATTCATATGTGAATGACGGTCCAGTATGGGGAAATCTCTAGAAATTCATATGTGAATGACAGTCCAGTATGGGGAAATCTCTAGAAATTCATATGTGAATGACACTCCAGTATGGGGAAATCTCTAGAAATTCATATGTGAATGACAGTCCAGTATGGGGAAATCTCTAGAAATTCATTTGTGAATGACGGTCCAGTATGGGGAAATCTCTAGAAATTCATTTGTGAATGACGGTCCAGTATGGGGAAATCTCTAGAAATTCATATGTGAATGACGGTCCAGTATGGGGAAATCTCTAGAAATTCATATGTGAATGACGGTCCAGTATGGGGAAATCTCTAGAAATTCATATGTGAATGACAGTCCAGTATGGGGAAATCTCTAGAAATTCAAATGTGAATGACGGTCCAGTTTGGGGAAATCTCTAGAAATTCATATGTGAATGACAGTCCAGTATGGGGAAATCTCTAGAAATTCATATGTGAATGACGGTCCAGTATGGGGAAATCTCTAGAAATTCATATGTGAACGACAGTCCAGTATGGGGAAATCTCTAGAAATTCATATGTGAATGACGGTCCAGTATGGGGAAATCTCTAGAAATTCATATGTGAATGACAGTCCAGTATGGGGAAATCTCTAGAAATTCATATGTGAATGACAGTCCAGTATGGGGAAATCTCTAGAAATTCATATGTGAATGACGGTCCAGTATGGGGAAATCTCTAGAAATTCATATGTGAATGACAGTCCAGTATGGGGAAATCTCTAGAAATTCATATGTGAATGACGGTCCAGTATGGGGAAATCTCTAGAAATTCATATGTGAATGACAGTCCAGTATGGGGAAATCTCTAGAAATTCATATGTGAACGATGGTCCAGTATGGGGACATCTCTAGAAATTCATATGTGAATGATGGTCCAGTATGGGGAAATCTCTAGAAATTCATATGTGAATGACAGTCCAGTATGGGGAAATCTCTAGAAATTCAAATGTGAATGATGGTCCAGTTTGGGGAAATCTCTAGAAATTCATATGTGAATGACAGTCCAGTATGGGGAAATCTCTAGAAATTCATATGTGAATGACGGTCCAGTATGGGGAAATCTCTAGAAATTCATATGTGAACGACAGTCCAGTATGGAGAAATCTCTAGAAATTCATATGTGAATGACGGTCCAGTATGGGGAAATCTCTAGAAATTCATATGTGAATGACAGTCCAGTATGGGGAAATCTCTAGAAATTCATATGTGAATGACAGTCCAGTATGGGGAAATCTCTAGAAATTCATATGTGAATGACGGTCCAGTATGGGGAAATCTCTAGAAATTCATATGTGAATGACAGTCCAGTATGGGGAAATCTCTAGAAATTCATATGTGAATGACAGTCCAGTATGGGGATGCATGCCTGTCAGTCCAGCAAAGCGTATGAGTGGAGTAGGGAGTTTCAAAACGGCAGGACTTCGGTGACAGACTGTCCTTGATCAGTTCAGGCTCACTGAGTAGTGACCCTAGAGTCGACTGTATAACCACTCATACACTTAGTGGAGAGTTACAAAACAATGGCATGTTTATTGTTATTTTTATCACACTTTTAAAGTTTTCATTTGAAACCCCCTCAAATATCAATTAGAGATACAGTAAAGCCTTAATAACATTAATTTCACGGGACTGAAAAATCAAGAGTTTATGTTGAAGAAAAACATATGTGCTGCCAGGGGACTAATAATACACTAATGTACATTCCTGCTGGGATCAAGATCTTCCTCATGTTAACCAAGTATCTTCTTAAGCCTGTTTGTAGTAACACTGTTTTAGGCTTCTTTTTCTTCTTCTGCATTACCCTCAAAATGACAGATGGCATGTTGTGTTGTGGTTTACAGCAAGGCTGTGATATCTGCACATATCAGCCCAATGCGCCATTTTCAAATTAGTCACACCGCCCCCCCCCCCCATCCTGTGTGGGTTCCGGGGTCCCATTGTGGGGGAAAACAAGAATAGACTCACTGCCTCCCCAAAAGCATGTCGTAAGAGTCGACTAATTGGGGAGCTTCCTTTGAAGTCGAAGTGCATCTGCCGGAGAGGCAAGGAACCAACAGTCTGTATTCAAGAGAATGAGGTCTGTAAAACTGATGCACACGCAACACTCAGGTCCTGGAGCAGGACTGCGGTTCAGTAGTGGACGAGCAACCAGAACCTTCTGCCAGAGTTTACAGCTGGTGAACGTGAAGAAGAAGAAGAAGAAATTAGACACCTTTTAGGACATGCTTGTTGGGGGAAGGAGCGGTGGGTCTATTCTTTGTCCACCAAAATTTGGGTCCTGGAACCCACATGAGGAGAGAACATGATACACATGAAGGAAGTAGGAGGTGCTTCTCATAGCTTTCAGCATGGTGTAAAGATAGCAGCACATGAACTAATACATCAATCACCATTGTCCTTGCTTACACAAGCCTGCAGGTTACACCAGCTGGTTATTACTTGGATTAGTGAAAGATTATTTGGAAGCTGCGGAGATATGGTTTTATAGATGGATAATGAGAATACCCTGGACAGATAAAATGAGTAATGAGGATGTCTTGAAAGAAACTGACTTACGAAGATCAACTGATTGCACACATCAGAAAATGACAATCTGCAGTCTTTGGTCATGTGATGAGAAGGAGTAAACTGCAGTGCACTGTGACAGTAGAAATGTTGGAGAGGAAGAGAGGTAGAGAGAGATTGAGAGAAAGGATGCAGGATAATTTGACAACATGGCATGAAGTAAGTAGACGAGACAGAAGGTTGGGGATAGGCATGACTACCAACGCCACACGGCACGGACTTTAAAAAGAATAAGAAGAAGAAGTTCTTACTTATCTAGAGATTGAATGGGAATTCGTCCGGTTGGCTTGCCATCCAGAGTAAGACGTTTCAATCCCAGCGAGTCAAACCTTTAGGGGTAGCCCAGAGGGAACAAAAGGGAAGAAAGGAAAAGATACATTCTGCTGAGAAACAGGTCCATAAAATAATGATGTTGTTTATGATCATCTATGAAATAATGATGTTTATGATCATCCATGAAATAATGATGTTGTTTATGATCATCCATGAAATAATGTTGTTGTTTATGATCATCCATGAAATAATGATGTTGTTTATAATCATCCATGAAATAATGATGTTGTTTATGATGATTCATGAAATAATGATGTTCTTTATGATCACCCATGAAATAATGATGTTGTTTATGATCATCCATGAAATAATGATGTTGTTTATGATCATCCATGAAATAATGATGTTTATGATCATCCATGAAATTATGATATTGTTTATGATGATCCATGAAATAATGATGTTGTTTATGATCATCCATGAAATAATGATGTTGTTTATGATCATCCATGAAATAATGATGTTGTTTATGATCATCCATGAAATAATGATGTTGTTTATGATCATCCACGAAATAATGATGTTTATGATCATCCATGAAATAATGATGTTGTTTATGATCATCCATGAAATAATGAATTTGTTTATGATCATCCATGAAATAATGTTGTACTGATCTGGAAAACGGGAGAGGCTGACCTCCAAGGATGTGGATACAAGAAACTGAAGACTCAAGTGGCTATGAAAGCACATAGAGCTGGAGAACTGGCAAGAAAAAAAAAGAGACTTTCAGATGTGCAGTGAAGAGAATGATGCTCTGCAAAGCACCTGTTGATTGATGATGATGATGATGTTGTTGACTGTTACATCTAAAATAGTTATATTAAGTGCATTAATATAAGGGAATTACTGTGTGTAATAACTTGTTGCACTATTGTTTTGTTATAGAACACGGTTATATAAATATACTGTTGAAATACTAATCTTCTTTGTCCTTATTATTATATGAACTTAGTTGCATATTAAGAAAGTATTTAAAAGTAATACGTCTCCTCTCTTCATATGTATGTATTTGTGAATGTGTGCACAGGCATGTGTTTGTGTCCAAGTAGGTATGATTGTATGTGTCCTAACATATTTAGTCTATGAAGTGTTTTATCTCAGTGATTATATTATTATATTTACTGCTACGTGCACTGAACTTGCAAAAGAAAGAACAGGTAAAAACTGTGTAACAGATAAGTGCCATTAATAATGTATCATCTTTAGATTTTGAACGTTCAATGGTATTTCATATTTTCCCTCCTGTTAATATTTTTATTTAAAAATTGACTGTGAGTGGTTTTCTTGAATATTCTTAATCTGCATCTTCTTCTGCCTTCTAACCCCCAATGGAGCATAGGCCCTTAACTTAACCAACTCATGCCAAGTCGTTCTATCCTTCGCTATTGCATGCGGTTGTGGTGGTGCTTTGTTGGGAAAAAAAAAAATCATCATGTTCAACTAGCATCCTGAAGGGGGAGCTTTAGGTTATAATTGTGACTAAGTTTATGTGCACCATATAAAATGGCTTAGTATTGCACGCTACCAACAGCTCTGACAAGGACTCCTGCAGTGTTGATGTGATCAAAGAAGACAGACCAAATACTGTCCCCACCGGCAACGGAGTCGTCTACCAGCGAGCCAATGGGTGACCCGGTCACCGATAAAACTATCGCA